CCATGTAGGGTTGCTAGCCGGAGCTTCTATTGCGTGCGATCTACGTGTGATCAGAAAATACCCCCCCCCCCAAAAAAAAGGCCGATCCGGGAACGTCTGAAAAGGAGGGTATTATACATGAGGAAAGTAACACTGGTGAGATATCATCGTGTGTAGTTATGGAAGTGGAACTAATGTGCTATTCTAAGAACTGACACCAGTGCAGATGTTCGTAATTATATTGGACTGAAACATTAGTGTCACTTTCTGCACCTAAATACAGGTATCAAGGTCTTTATATATAATGTCCTTGCAGGGTTAAAAGAAAATATGTTGCGATACTAAGTTTGACGCTTTTAATCAATATTTTGAACATAAAACCAATTTGTCATTTAGGTGCATTAGATCTGAAAGGCACACTGTTCAACACTTTGAATCGACTCTGTGGTGATTTGTGTGTCGATTTTAAACATTGTTTTTTTTTTTCTGTACCCTGGTAAATGAATTGAAATTTTGCAGGCGTATGCTAGGATCATGCTCATGATTATGATATTGATATTAAAAGTGATCTTGATTTATATTTTTTCAGTCCTTGAACCGCAAGCACCATGTGGCGGACTGCCACGGTTGTTGTTCTTCTTTGCTCCTTCTTCTGCGGTCTCCAGTCTCAGAGTTCAGTAGCTCCAACATCTGCCCCAGTAAGTAACCCTGCAACACCTAGTGCACAGTCTACCGCGGCAAGTAACACCTCCAGCCCGAGTGTTACCGAGTCCACCACGAACAACAACACCCCATCCCCGAATGTTACCGAGTCCACCACGAACAACAACACCCCATCCCCGAATGTTACCGAGTCCACTACGAACAACAACACCCCATCCCCGAGTGTTACCGAGTCCACCACGAGAAACAACACCCCATCCCCGAGTGTTACCGAGTCCACCACGAGAAACAACACCCCATCCCCGAATGTTACCGAGTCCACAACGAACAACAACACCCCAAACCCGAATGCTACCGAGTCTACCACAAGCAACAACACCCCAAACCCTAATGCTACCGAGTCTACCACGAACAACAACACCACCCTTGACATGCCTCCGAGTCTACCCACCCCACAGAACGCCACGCCCCAGGTCTCTCCCCCGCCGATGAACAACAGCACCTCGAGCTGGTCCGGGTCAGGGTCCGGGTCAGGGACAGATGCTGAAGGTTCCGGTTCTGGCTCCCCCTCCCGTAAGTTTCTACATTTATTCACTCTAGTGACTTCTCTGCCGTTTTAATATCAACGTTTCAGGATTTGACCAAAAGAAAACATCATGAAATTGTTTCATAAAATTGACAATGCGAATTATATAGTTGGGGATATAAACATGCCCCAGCATAATTTTGAAGTTACCAACCAACCACATCCCCGCTTACGATAAAGCTGTCAAAGTGTTATTTGTTATTCAGGATTTCTGCTTGTTCACGAGGGGTAATTTATTCTCGTTAGGCCTTTGCTAAGTTGATCTTTTATTATTGTTTTAATGTTATGTTATGACATAGTTGGATATCCCCATGAATTCTTTGAAAAACACAAAAGTGTTAATGGACTAAATTCCCCTCCTAGCTCTGATTGGCGGATGTTTTTCCGCCAATGAGATATAGGAGGTTACCATGTAATCCTATCTTTCAAATAGCTCTGTTAGCATTTAATTTGATATTTTAATGTCTTGGGGTAGTGAGAATACGGCGCACAGATATGTCAACTTTGTATATTTAAATGTTAATTGTACCTTTTTTGTTGTGTGGCGCTGTTAATATTATAAGTTGTTAACTTGAGTGCAGCGTCACACTGTCCTTGTTATGTTTTTATGTTTTGATGAATAAAAAGAAACACAGAAGGCGATAATTCTGTCATTTAAAAATATACACAAGCAAAGAAACAAATTAAAACTTTGGCCAAAGCACATGATTCGCCATACTCTGGTCTCGAGTTATCACAATAAGATTGCACCGTAATATTCTCATTTTCAACGGCATATCCATTTTCAGAGTCCGGCACATTTGTGCAGAAGACGGGGCCCAGTGGAACAGTAAGCAGCCCGAACTATCCCAGCCAGTACCCGAACAGTCAGGACTACCGGTACCTGATCACCGTCACTCCACCAAAGGTCGTACAGCTCAGCTTCACGGCGTTTAATGTGGAGAACAACTGGGACTTCGTCTACTTGTACGATGGAAACACAACTGAGAATCAAATAGGTAAGCTACATGCACACACACACACACACACACACACAAATGTACACGCCGTAATACATAAATACATACATGCATATATATTCACACATACTAGTACCTATACGCACGCTCGCGCACAGACACGCACATACTGCGGTCGGAGTTTCTGTTAGTAACATTGTATTTTTAACACAAAAAAAGAACTTACCCAAATTTTCCACTTTTCAACACACACGCAGAGAGAGAGAGAGAGACAGAGAGAGAGATAAAGAGAGAGATAGAGAGAGAGAGAGAGAATCCCGCACATGCATATATTATGTTATCGCCACTGTCAACAGATTTTTGTGTGTATAATTATGTATAATTCTTTCCCTTTAACCCATTCATGTACATGTAATGTTGTTTGCTGGCTTTCATTTTCATCATTATGCCAGATTCATGAGTACAGAAGTATGTAAACATATTCATTATTGCACCGAAAATGAATTAAAGTTTTTTTTTTCTTTACTTAGTTCGTTTAACTGGTTCGACCATGCCATCCCCTGTGACGTCGACTGGGAACACCATGCTGGTTCGATTCACCTCTGACTACAGTGTGACCAGACAAGGGTTCCAGGCTTCATACACTGCCGTTGTAAAAGGTCAGGATAGTTACATTATCTCTACATGAAGAGCACTGCGCCAGTAAGAAAGTATTACTGTCAAACGTTTTTGTCAAAGCCTTACTGTCAAACGCTTTTGTCAAACATTTGTTACCTCCATGAAAAATGGAGGTATTGTTTTTGGCGTGTCTGTGTGTGTGTCTGTCTGCCTGTGTTTGCGTTTCCGCACATTTGTAATCAGCATAACTTCATAACGCCTTTATGGATTGTGGTAATATTTGGCGTGCTGATAAGTCTTAGGAAGACAAACGTCAAGGTCAAATATGGGCCTCCTGGTGGATGACTTTGGTACTGCAGCAGAACTTCCGGTTTTTGTGTCTTTTGTCCTGAACATGCTATATGGTCTTGTTTTTTTGCTGACAGATAGCTTTTCCTGTCTGGAATAAGTGGTATGGGTTAGGTCCCCCTAGCAGCTTGTTCTGGAACTGCAGGGGACTTTCTGGCGAAACCTTTTAAAGCCAATAAGTCCAGATAGGAACAACTTATTTTTATCATTTTTGGTGTTTGGTGCTGAGAGAGAGTTGTATATGATTAAATGCAAATTATGCAAATGAGGACTTAATTTGCATAATTAAGTAGGGAATTCTATAATTACAGTGTTTTATATAATAGCTCTTTTATACATGTAATCCATTTTTTTTAAATTCCATAAGCGAAATTACATAGTATCGTATGAAAAAATAAAATATTGCATAGCATTTCTTTTTTTTTGTGACGCGTCAGGAGCGGTGACTATTGTATTTGGTTTTCTGCCTTCCAGTGTTCGCCAACTGTTCGGTGGGGCAGTACCGTTGCGGAGACGACGTGACCTGTGTGGAGTCATGGAAACGGTGTAACGGAGAGGTCGACTGCAGTGACGGCAGCGACGAAGCATCTTGTAGTAAGTCCTACATCCTACTTTAAAATCCAATTTTATCGTCATTTCCCCTCAAAACGGGGGTTACACGTGCTTGCATCAAATGCAAGTTTTTTGTTCGTTTTTTAGCTAGATTTTTATGTTTGGATGCCCTTCCTGACGTCAATCCAAACCCTAGTAGGGCCCAGGATCCCTCTAACTGGAATACGTGTTAAGTGCCTTTTTCAAGGGCACAACGTCTGGGTGCATGTCCGGACATGTCTTGGTCAAACCCTGGGGATTGCACCTAGGTCTCCTTGCTTTACAGTCGGATGCTCTATCCACTACACCACACCGATGACACCTTGCAGTTTTTTTTATATGGTTATCGATATGATACCTTCAAGTGACTCGTATTGTATCCTTACATAACCATCCGCCCTTCGGCCTAACAGACCAGCTTTTATATTAAACGTTACACCCAATATTTTACATGTACATTGATTTGCATTGATGGCAACGGGTTTTCGACCACCGCAATTCTTGGTTGATGACTTTTACATTAGAAGGCATCACTGCATCTTGTTCTTTTCTAGGCTGGTATTAGATACTTAGTGGTTGGTACGTCCACCAGTTTGATTATCGGTCATTTTGTACATCATGCATAGTCTGGGCATTTTTCGTCTGCCTTTCAGCGGAACCCATTGTATATTTCTTTTTGGAAGGTTTGGTCTATAGATTGTTGAAACAAAAAGATTAACCTTAAACATGTAACTACCAACACAGTCGAACTTTAATTAGAAATGACCTCTTTATGTTTCTGCAGATTGTGAAGGCATCCCGCCCAGTTTCACCCTGTGCAGAGTCCTGCCATACGTTAACGCTGGTTTTCCCAACCCGTTCAACCACAAGACAGTACAAGAAGTCAGAGACCCCGGTTTTCTCAATAACTTTCAGACGCTCTCGGATTCCAGGTGTCACCCTGAGGTTAATGAGTTAATCTGTGCTCTTCTTCTGCCCAACTGCAACCAAACTCAGAGGTAAGATCGCGTATTTTCATAGTATTCGTAAACTCTAGTGTGCAATGTAGTCATATGGAATACTTTTGGCAAATTGTTGACTCAAAATCTAAACATCTTGGATTCGAATATTCCTCTATTTATGACTGGAATGTACTACTAAACACCGCATGGTAGAGTTGTGTTACAAAATATAAATGAGTATAAAAAATATATGACCTTAATTACGTTTGGGATCGCATTCCTGTCAGATCATCACTTGATGAAGCCAAAGAAATGATTAGAATTGTTCAAAACACATTGACAAGTGATCATTTATAGAAACAATAAATTACTTAGGTCGATAACGGTTAGACATCCAGGTAATACGATACGCCAAAAAGTAGTTACTCAAGCAACTGAATATGATTTTGAAAACGTCAGACGTTTCAGCTAGTGTCCATTAGCTTTCGTCAGTGACTGAGAGACCAGAGGGAAAATGCAGGTTTATAAGCACAACCTATTGATTGATATGCCCCGAGGACAGACAACGAGGACAGACAACGCTTAAGCTCCTGTTACTTACTCATATGATGTCATATTTCCTATATTACAGCCGACACCAGCTACCATGTCGGTCGTGGTGCGAAGAGGTGCGAGATTCTTGCAAGAATCAGGCGCTGATATCATCCTTGCCCTCTTGCGGGATATTCCCGAACAGCAGCTGCTACAACATTGCGCCATCAAAGAAGGATGGTGGTGAGTTATCTTACAGCATTTATGATCATTACCTTCGCCAAGAAGGTTATGTGACATAGTGTTTTCGTTGGCATTTGTGTGTCTGTGTGTGTGTATGTGGGTACCTTAAAGAATGCTTGACATATTAAAATGATAATTATGAAAATCAGCAGCTAATTAGCATAATTAATGAGGAAATGCTTTAAATCTGCTACCTTCCATGATTATTCAAACATGTGGCATGTGTAATTCTAAAGAAGAACATTGGCAGATAGTTTTTATGCAAATGTGTGCCTAATTTGCATAATTAATGAGAATCGTCAACATTCGTCAACAAGGCCCAAGGGTAACATCATCGAGACGCCTGTCGCCACAAAAAGACAGACTTCTGCATCGATTCATAACGTTTATTCTATCTCGTATAGCAATCAGCACGGAAGTATTTTTGGGTGGCTAAGTTATGCGTCTGTGTCTCTGTATGTCACAATTGCTTCCAGTGTGTAGTGGGTGGGCTTTCATTTTGCCTGCGGCTTGATAGAAAAATCATCGTAAGGTTTATTCTATCTCGTAGAGCAATCAGAACAGAAACATTGTTTTGGGTGGCTAAGTTGTGCGTCTGTGTCTCTGTATGTCACAATTGCTTCCAGCACGTAGTGGTTGGGCTTTTATTTAGCCTGGGGTTTTATACAAAAATCATTCCCCGAGGTGACACAGCACGCGCCAGGTAGGAGTAAGTTGGCAGTATATGGGGAAATTGTATGGGAAAGGAATTGTTATTCAAGAAATTGGATACATTTTGAAAACTGTCTGACGCTGCAAGTAGCATCCTCTTCTTTTCATCAGTGACGATTCGATTTCTGGTGTAAGAAAGAGTACTAGTAATTTCTAATAAAACCGTACATAACATCCACAGTTCGAATACTTTCACGAAATATATGTAGTTTCTGGACGTCAATGAAATTCAAGTATTTCGTAAAAGTATTCGAACTGTGGATGTTATGTACGGTTTTATTAGACATTACTCCCCTTTCTTACACCAGAAATCGAATCGTCACTGATGAAAAGTGGTAAATGCTACTTGAAACGTCTTAGACAGTTTTTTAAAATGTATCCAAGTGCTTGAGAAAAAATTCCTTGTGAATATTGCTATCCGGATGTCTACCCTTCATCGACATACTCTATTTTCTTAATTTCCCCGGCCCCATACACTGCCAACTTACTCCTACTTGGCGCGTGCTAGGTCACCTTAAGGCATGATTTCTCTATCAAACCGCAACCGAAATGAAAACAGAAATTATACTTTTATAAATTAAACATACTTTCCCCTTTGTTCTTCATTCTAGATGAGTGTTACAGGGGAAATGGAGCGAATTATAGAGGAAACGTGAACAAACCGCCATCGGGGAAGACCTGTGAACGGTGGGACTTGGACACACACAAGAGCCTGCTGACGACCGCAGCCTGGGCAAACCTAGAGGGCAACCTTTGTCGGAACCCTGACTGGACGAGACCATACTGTTACATCGAGGGGGGTTTCGAGGAGTGTGACATCGTTCCCTGTGACGGTATGCCTACAGAAGTATTCGGGTGTAATGCTGCATTATGTAAGATCAGGATTATTAAAAAAATATGTTTCCTTATAATTGTTTTGCAACGTAAGCTGAACAAATCACTCTCCCATTGCAAAAAAAAGTGTAATTTGGACTTACCTAAGTAAAAAGTATACCTAATTTTACAGTTTAAAGTTAACTTTTGTTCCAACACAAAAAAAATCTCTCGTGGGCTTCTTCAGCAGACTGGTCGAAATCTCTAGGTGAGAGAATTTCTTCGTGTTGGACCAAAAGTTGTAACATTAAACATGTAACTACAAACACAGGTGAACTTTCGTGGTAATTTCTTTACAGTCGTTGGCTGCAAAGATCCTGGGAAACCAAACTTCGGCCAAAGAAGCCCTCTACTGAAGTTTTACAGAGAAGGAGATCGGATCACGTTTACGTGTGACAGAGGCTACAAGTTCAAGGAGGACTCGCCACCGAACAGGGCGCAGTGTGTCGTCAACGGAACCGAAGCAAAGTGGTCTACAGTCGTGCCTAACTGTGAAGGTTAGTACTACACCTACTGTAAAGGTTAGATGTTAATGCCACACGTACCCATTTATTCGGCGTTAAAAAGTGACCAGATGGCCAAACAAGCTACCGAGGCCCAATCAAGGATTTAATCGATTAGATGATTGGTTGATTAATGGATTGATTGATTGATTGACAGATCAGAAGATTAAAGTATGACGAAGAACTTGGTCAATTACCTTAAAATGGCCGATGGTGACGCGACTAAAGAATCACTTTTTGTGTTCTTTTAGAAACGTTTAAACTATAAATTTCCATAATAGATATCACATCAAAAGGAATCGTGTTTCCCGGTGAATTCTAAATATATATTTTTTTTAGATGTACACTTGCAACATCTCGTTTGCAAGATCTTTAGGCACATAACTTATGAATGTAAACAAAAAAAACATGACTTGGCATCCTATCACAGTTTACCAACAGTAATGTTTGTACTATTTTACAGTGGACCATAATTGGAAGCTGACAAAGGACATCTTCAGCACTGAGGTGTACAACAAGGCCTTTGCTCCCTCAAGGGGCAAAAATGTGCACGTCCATGCTTACATCGAGAACGTCATATCGTTGGTAAGTTTAAAACATGCAGACATAAGGAGGGCAAATTGAACATTCTCTTTCGTTTCTTCTTTCATTTCGAAGCCACCTTCATCTAGCTAAAGATTCTGATGCATTTTTGTGGTTCATATGAGCTGGGGTTCGCCAGGACTCAATTTATTTAAAGAAATGCATTTAAGAATAGCAGCGCAGATGACGTTGACTTAAAAGTTTGGTTACAATGTTTACAATAATTAATAATTACTTATTTCAAACTTCTTAGGATGAAAAGAATGAACAGATCGTGACGGCTGTTAAGATGGCATTGGTAAGTATGACAATCTCTTTCTCTGTGTCCCTCTCAATACATGTTTGTTTATATGGTTATATATAATAAATAATAATACCAATTAGTGTTTTTTAGTTAACTTCATACAATCAACTCTGCAATACTCTGCAATGATACAAATCCTTTACCAATTACTAGCTATGTTCATACAAATCTATACATAAATTATTGTTTCTTTTAACTGACAAGACTCTAATTATTGACCAATTCAACATAAAATGACATCATGTGTTATAACATTTCCTTTTTTATTATTTTGTGCTAGGAATGGGAAGACGAGCGTTTGCAATGGCAGGCGAGTGAGTACGGGGGTTTGGACGCCATTTACGTTGGTGATAGCACGGTCTGGAAGCCTGGCTTATCGCTTAAACGGAAGTACGTCTTTTTTTTTCTTCTCATCTTTGATACAGATTTCAATTAATGGCTTATGATGAAAAAATTAATCTCTGAAGTTATGCTTTATGTGATGCTGAAACATACTTGTATACATATGTATTGCATTTGCCATCTTTATTATACTCGCAGTTCACTCCATATGTAATACCCCCACCCCCAAATAAAAAAATAAACTACATCAAGTATGGTACCCGCCGGCGTTAACTGCGTTTAGCAATTTAAATTGGTTGCTTTATCACTCCATTCAATAATTTGGCTAGATTCTTCCGAACCTTTAGCAAACAATCATATACATGTATGACGATTAACTTAAAAAACTGTTTCTCTATTTCTCTCATAATCAGCTTTAATACAGAGTATACTGGCGGCTTCCCTGAAACTAATCTAAGAGTTACCGACAAGGGAAAGGTATATGGCACCTTAGAGTTTCTGGCCTCCACAACATGTGACTTGGACCCGTTCCTGTTTCCACAAGACAACATGACATGTCCCGTCTGCCTGAAGGGAGGACCGGAAACGATAATAGGTACATTTGTACTCTTGGAATCATGATATTTATAACAGAAAAAATATAGCTCTTAGAGATATAACAATGTTTTTTCATCAATTTCTATCAATGAATAATATAATTTGTTGTGCATGTGCATTCTTTTACGAGCTAAGGTCGTGGTGATAGGTTATTTGCTAATAACTAATACAACTAGAATTATATTAGAGTGCGGTATCTTTTTACAACTACAATGGCTAATGTATACTCGAAAGTACTGTAAAAACCTCTTCTGGCTTTCAAATATGTTGCATTCACAACATATCTGACGGAGCTTATAAAACATAGTTTTATCTGTAAATTTTCTGCTAATTCAGAAAAAAAACGTATTTGAATTACTAAATAGTCCATATTTTATGTTTAATATAGATGGACAATGAGTATAAGTACAGTAATATAGTAAAAGTAGTACAGTAGTAGCTCGGTAAATAATTTCATCAGGTTGCTGAATGGTTGAGTATCAAAGTTGTTTATTTACTATAGACAAGTGTGTCTGGTAAACAAGTTGTTGTGAATAAACTTCTATTTATATTTAGTACAGTATAACGTTTTTAATCAATGACAATGTTGCGATGAAATGCCAATTTTTGTTTCTTTCTTTCTTTTTCACAAAGCATGTTCCGAGACTATACCAGACAAAGAAGAGAAAGAATTCCTGACCTGTAGCAAGACCAGCGATCGGATTCTCACCGGAGAGTGGGCGGGCCGTGTCACTCTCTCAGCCGGCAACAACACCGCCTGCCTCACGATAACAATCCAACGGGATCCTAGCTACCACTACGCTACAACCATCTCTCCCTGCATCATCCTTGTCGTCCTCATGATCATCACCTTCATCATGCCCATTGATAAAGGTGACAGGATTGGATTCGGCGTCACCGTGCTGCTGTCCATGGTGGTGTCGCTGGTCGTCGTTACAGGTTTCTTGCCTGTAAAAGGAACCCTGCCATTCATCGGTAAGACGTTACAGACATTGTACTTTCGAGTACAGAAACATTATTTTGGGTGGCTTACTGAGAAATTTGTATGTTTGCTGTTAGAGTAGCGACGGTGAAGTTTTGGTATGGTTTTGACTGCTAGGGGGGGGGGAGGATGTCAGAGGTTATGTCCAAGGATTCACAAGGTATTATTTTACCCGATAAACATAGGGTTGTTTCTTTAATCTGTCTATTCTCCTACCAGTTATAATCATCTCTAATTATAAAGAGCTACTTCTCATATTTCCAAACTACATAGCAATAATTCCGACATAATTTGGTGTAAACTAGATAAGAACTACTTTGGTTTCGACAAGGATGTGATTCTGGGTTGCCTGTATCTGCCTCCTGAAAACTCGCCAATTTTTGCGACAAAAAAAGAATACATTATTTGAAGATCTAACTGATGAAATAGCTAAATTCAATAGCATGGGGCATATCTTACTTCTTGGTGATTTAAATTCTAGAACAGCTAATTTACAAGAAAAACTCTTTGATGGTTTTGACGAAAATGCCTCTGAAATCAACCTAAAACCTAGACTCAGTACAGACACTATAAATAACAGATACGGTAGGGAACTAATTGACCTATGTTCAGCCGCTAATTTGATTATAACAAATGGAAGGTTATTGGGGATCTCCCAGGAAAAAGTACGTGCATAAAATACAATGGTACAAGCACGGTTGATTACTGTATTACTAGTCTGCATCTCTTCCCATTAGTTCAATATTTTAAAGTTCATGACCCATCCTGGATATCTGATCACTGTCAAATCTCAGTTTCCCTCAAATCAAACCACTCAAATTTTAGACATAAAGTTGAAGAAAAAAATAATGCTTACCCCAAAAAATACATCTGGGATGAAACTTCATGTAAAAAATTTCAAGAGGCTCTTAATTTACCGCAAATACAAAATGAAATACAACAATTCATGTCAAAACCCTACACAACCAACCAAGTAACAAATGTTGTTGCTGATTTTAACTGCATCATTAAGACAACAGCAGACCTGTCACTCAAATCAATTCGTGTTTCAAAACGGAAAAGAAAACCTATCACTAAACCATGGTACGACCAACAATGTCGGGATCTTAAATCAAGAATACGAGCACTGGCCGCAGAAATTAGAAAATCCCCATGGCGACAAGACAAAAGACAAGATTATGTATTTAAGATTAAGGAGTATAAAAACTGCTAAAAAGAGGAAAAACAGTATAATGAAGAAAAAATGAGATCTTTAACAAAATTAGCTAAGAACGAACCCAAAACATTTTGGAACGAAATAAATAAATTGCGAAATCTAGAAAATGGTACTAAGGTAGAGACAGGGGATCAAATCACAACTAATGAATGGCTGGATCATTTTAAAACAATAAATAAGAACATTGTGGTCGATACCGAAGAAAAAGAAAATATAGATAAAATTATTACATCACTTGAACAAGAAACAGAAAACCTCTAGACTTTGAGATTACTGAAGAGGAAATCCTAAATGGTTTATCTAGTTTAAAAAACAATAAGTCTAGTGGAACAGATTCTATAATTAATGAAATGTTGAAATATGGCGCCTCCAAACTTGTACAACCATTCAAAAAATGTTTAACATATTACTACAGTCTGGGCACTTTCCTCAGCAGTGGAGCCAGAGCACACTCGTTCCAATTTACAAAAGTGGCGAACCATCAAATCCAACCAATTACAGAGGAATAGCTATTTCTAGCTGTGTTGGCAAACTATTCACATTCATCTTAAATAAACGTCTACAACATTTCATGGAAAACTCAAACCTGCTATCTCCGTTTCAATCCGGATTCAGGAAAGATTTTAGAACCAGTGACAATGTCTTTGTTCTCAAAACATTAATCGACCAACAGATTTGTAAACCAGGGGGGAAACTATATGCTTGCTTTGTAGATTTTCGCAAAGCCTTTGATTCGGTTTGGCGAAACGGGTTACTTTATAAGCTTTTATCTTTAGGGATAGGGGGGAACTTCTTTAGGTTAATAAAATCAATGTATCACAACATAGATTATTGCGTCAAAACCCCACATGGCCTGTCACCCTACTTCAAATCGTTCTGCGGAGTGCAACAGGGCTGCAACCTGAGTCCTCTCCTCTTCAACATATTCATCAATGATTTCCCATCCTTATTAGATCCACATCCTGCGATGCCTTGACATTAAAAGATACTCCTATAAACAGCATATTTTGGGCCGACGACCTTGTGCTCGTATCCAAATCAGAATCAGGCCTAAACGAGTGTCTGAGGACGCTAGATCAATTTTGTTCCCTATGGAAATTACAAATAAATTAAGAACAAAACAAAAGTAATGATATTCTCAAAAAATGGGCGGACATACGATAATAAACACTCACCTTTCAAATGCCAAGGACAAGTTTTAGAGATAACTAACTTCTACACATACCTAGGGGTGGACATCACGCCTTCCGGATCATTTACCCGTGCTATTAAACAGTTAAGACTAAAGGCTCTACGGGCCTCTTTTGGATTGAAATCTTTTTTGTCATCAAACTCCAACCCATCCATCCCCCTAGCTATAGATCTATTCAACAGTTTGGTTAAACCTATCCTACTGTATTGCAGTGAACTTACTGGAATAAATGTGCAATGCAGAGACCTAATTTTTAAAGGAATTAATGAATGTCCCAATGAAAAGATCAGAACATCCATAGCCACAATTCTCAACCCGATATTAGGGTCGGAAATTGATTTACTGCGAGTCAGTCGCATAGGAAAGATATCAGACCCCTCGTCCTCCTGTACTCGCCCTCTTCTTGTTAGATTTAAGAAATATAGTGATAAACTGAACGTGATATACCAGTCAGACACTTTATTAAGAAACCAGAATATAACATTAGAACAACCAAAAATCTCATATGAAATACCTGACTTAGAATATGTACTTTTAAATTTTTGCAAAATTCTCCTCCATGTTCCGAAAGGATCTGTAAACGCCGCCGTAAGGGGTGAATTAGGAGTATTTCCCTTGTTCGTTGACAGTCAAACACAGCTGATTAAATATTGGTTAAGGTTAAATAATTTACCAAATGATAGGCTTGCTAAAAAAGCATACGACATTTCAGTTGAAGAAGACCATGACTGGGCTACTCACGTTCAGGACATTTTATGTAAACATGGGTTCCAAAATGTGTGGCTTAACCCCGCAGTTAATGCCAACCGTTTTGGAATCATATTTAAAGAGCGTCTGAAAGACACGTTTCTTTCTGGCTGGAGAGAACAACTTAGAAACACTAGTAAACTTCATACATATTCTAAAATCAAAAAGCATTTTGGCATGGAAGACTATCTCACATCAATTTATAATAAATCGTTCACAACTAGCATAACAAAATTGAGAATCAGCGCACATTGTCTTCAAATCGAAAAAGGTCGACACCACAACACACCAGCCACTCAGAGACTGTGTCCCACATGTAATGAGAATATTGAAGATGAATTTCACTTTGTTATGACATGTCCCACCTATAGAAAAGAAAGAGATTCATTGTTACAGACTATTACCACTAAGACAAAGTTCACCCAATCTGGTACACAGTACGATACATTCCATGAATTATTGTCATGTCCTACTACCCTATCTGCTTACGTAGGTCAATTTCTGTACACCTTATTTTATAAGCGAGACCAAATCATCAATTCATGAACATATTGTGACTCATATACTGTATAGATAGTAGTTTGTAGTAAGAAATGTAATAAGATAGTTTAGTTTTTTAGTATTGTTGTATTACTGCCACACATTGTACCATGTACGATTGTCGAGCAATAAAGTTCATTCATTCATTCATATTTTGAGAGGAAAATGGTTACCAACTAATGGTTTTGATGATGCACGTCCAAATTCTGAAAATTAAAACCAGAATTGGAATTGGAATAGAAGAAATGTACGACCCCCTAAAATGTTTTATCACATGTCTTTGTATGCATTAATAACGTGTTGTTTTATTGCAGCCATGTTGATCATCGTTGCCATGGGAATGATGGGCGGCTTCATGTTGGTGACCCTCTGTATCATCATCATCCATGACCGGAAGGGCAACTTACCTCCGTGGGCACGGAAGCTCTTCCTACGCCACCTGGCGAGGTATTGCCGTTGTACACATGTTAATACAATATATTGCAATTAACTTTTACTACATACTAATATACTAGAAGCTAAACTGGATTGGGTGAGTAAATGAAATTGGGTTAAGGAGTAAGTGGATGCGTAAGTGAGTGGGTAAAACTAGGAGTTAGTCCCCATAAAATACAGATCAAAGTACTTTAAAATTCCTAGAGCACAGCTCAAGCAGTAAATGGTATTGGTATTGAGACATGTTTAAAAATCCGTTAGTTCCACAGCTTTAGAGACACACAATGGACACAAAACAGTTACTCAAGCAATTAAATAGAATTGAAATCTGCCCAGCTGTATCTAGTTGCTAGTGCAGGTTTCTTGTGTATCTCATTTATCTTAATGTCTAACCATTCTCAACTTAGACGTACAATGTTCCTTGAACACGTTTTTGCACATCAAGCTTTGAGATGGTACCCGGGAAATGGAAATACTAGTATATCTTTTGAGAGATATCGAATAAGGTAGCATGCTAATTTCCTATGCCACATGTTCTCCCTTCCTCTAGGATTGTTTTCATGGGAGACCTGACCAGGAAGCTGCGCAAAAACGACGAAGACGATGATGGACAGAGAGACGAAATCTTTTGCAACTGGTCGGTGAGTAACAAGGTGCAACCCGATGGAGCTAACGGGACTGAGGTCGCAACCAACCAAGCCGTTAGGGCCCAGTCTAACGAAGTTAAATCGAACGTTCCGGGGTTGCAGGGCACACTGGATGAGCTGAAGAGCAGTGTCAGGCAGCTGTCTGGTAGCATTGAGGCTCTGGCGAAGGCAAACAGTGGAGATGAAGAAGAAGTTACAGAATACAATCTGTTGGCGTATGTTCTGGACAGGATCTGTCTTTTCCTGTACATAGCTGGCATTATCGTTGCCATACCCTGTACTCTATACCTCGGTAGGTAAGGATACAATATAATTAAAACGTTCTGTATGGCCATACGATAGAGTTAATAAATAATGATATTACTAAAAGACAGTCTGAGATATGGTTGGGACACATTTTTCTGTCATTGATTAACACTAGCTCAACGACACTTACCTCAAAATATTGGGCATGTATATATCCACACTAGCAAAACTACTGTGATTGTAATTTACGTATAGATATGAAATTTTATATTTGTTGCCAATGCGACAGGGTAATCCTAATGCTCAATAATGTACGTACGTATGTTTTTTTCTGTAAATGGCTAAAAATGGCTAAAACGTCACTATGTATCACTACATTTTTACTATAATATCAACATTGATTTACATGTTTAATGTTAAAGATGTTGATCCAATACTACGAATGGTTCCATTCTACGACTTAGATCAAACTTTTAAACTCTAAACTTTTAAATACCTCCACATATGGATTTTTATTATAACATTGATTAGCTTATCAATCATCCTTGAGCTCTCTGTTTCAACCATAATCAATACATACGCGTATATTATGTTATTGAAACATTATACTAACGACTTTAAATTTGATACAATTTGAAAAGTTTTGTAATCAAACTACCATTATATCCTCTGTACTTCTACAACGTAGTTAATCTATGTATAATGTAATATATGTATCTGTTTGTGCATATGTTTCTGCATGCCCGAATGTGTAATTGCGTTACTTGTATTTCTTAGACTAATAAATTGTGATGGACGTATAATTGTTACTAATTTGCAATAAATATGTATGAAGTTTCCACCCCATGCTTAGAACAGGTAAAACATTACTAGTGTAAGAATAGTTTAAATACGTTATCAAAAGACACCAATAAAAGGTGAAAAGGCAACAGGACGAATCAATAATAAATGAATAGATCTTAAATGGTCTTGGAATGTTCTAGATATGGTGTGTTATTAAATACTATTATATAAAATAAATTATATGTTATGAAAAAACATTTGCATTCAGGTTTCTTAAGTGCAACAGATATCAAGACAATCAGAGTCACAAGCAGATTTCGATATATCTTTTTATGTAACAACTCACTCAATGCCAAAAGAATACGTACAATACCGTTTATGTTTAGCCATGTGTTTCCAATAAGTCATGATTCCCTCTTTATATTATAGATCTGCCTATATTATAGGAAGATCTTTAAAATACGAAAACATAAAATCTGCATTCCATTTAAAACGCAAGTTAAACAGCAGGTCGACGCATTAATATACTCAACAATTACTGCACGCACTATTTACACTGGTGGCCACTACAATTATGTAATGTTAATTTTGGATAAAAACAGTTCTTGGAATACAGGTAAACAAAGTACTTTATTCCAACATTAAAATTATAGGCCAACACAAAGTAGTCAAAATATACAGCCATGTCCGTATGTTATACTAAAGAGTACATTAAATCATTCTGTTTTTTTTTTTTTTTTAAAAATGTACTTATTACAAAGAACTTCAACAAAAAGTAGCAAACCTAAACCCCGACAAATATAAAAAAATTGCAATCTTAATAAAAAAATCACATTCAACAACTATGAAAACGTATTAAAACCCAACACAGTTCTAGTTTATATTGGTCACCCACTAGCGGCCATGTCTCAAACATGTATGCAAACTGTTTACATATTTTTAAAAATGTAAACAGTTTGCATACATGCTTTAAAAAAGAACTATAATTACTTTTACTTCCATTGAGCAACTGGTCCAACAGTTTTTTTTTCGTTTGGTCCAACTGGGCCAACAGTTTTTTCATCTTGAAGTTCTTAATCATTGTTTAACGTTCTGGCATATCTGTCTTGCCTGCTGGTTTCTTTTGGCTGCATCAGTGAATGGAGTTGGATCACTTGTTTGGCTTCGTCGGTTGCTGGCAGCTGATCAAGCACAGGCATGACCTTGCTTCGACTCTGTCAATGAGGGAAAAAGTCTGTTGAATGCATGCTTGTTTGTACATAATATGTAGTTCAATAACAACATTTTGAAAGTAAACAGACCTTGCAAAAATGTGTAATATCATGAAAACCGTTCAAAGCAACACATTGAATTTTACATATTAACATTGTGCTCCCTTTACTTGTCACAAGACTAAAAGAAAACGAAGCTCATTGTGTATGTGTAACCATTTTTTTGTATTTATCATTATCAATCTTAAATCTGTCCCCTTACCTTTCCAAGGCGAATAACCATCATTAAGATTGTTGTCAGGGCGACTGCGACGCCAACACAGATGGCTGAGATGTACACAGCGTCGCCGTACCATGCTAGGAAAAATGTGAAAAAAGAGGAGTAGGAATTTTTCTTCATTTAGATGCATTGTTTACCCGTTTTGTATAATGTTGACTGTGCGAAAGGCAGTCATTGTGTAACCCATATTCGCGGCCTCCGTTACAAACTACATGACTTATTGAGCTTATACAAAGTAAATTTTGGAGTATTTTTTCCATTCCCGATTAACCATCTTCACAACGCTTTTCACTACCGATGAAACATCTAGGTTGGTACAAAATGTTTAAAAACATCGTGTAGATGTTAAATGATGAAAACAGTTGCATACACACATTTTGTATACACGAAGAGTTTTTGTAGCTTGACTGTAGAAAATATCTGAGAAACCATTGATTGAATGCGCCCTTACCTTCTCTAGATGTTGCTGTGCTATTTTGATACACTTCTGTTGTACTCGTTCTTTCTGTTGCATGACGGGTTGTAGAGATATTGGGTCCCTCTGTAGCACTTCCTCGTGACGTTGTAGAGCTTATTACAACATTTGTTTCACACGACATGGAATCCACGGCGTTGTCTCTGGCTTCAACTGTCATTAAAACAGCTGAGAAATTCGCGTTAAATAGTTGCAACTCAGTCTCAACGTAGATCTGACCTGTTGACGGGTCAATGTTGAATAAGCTTGCTAGTTCTCCTGTTTTCGACTTTAAACTGTAGGAAACTTTGCCGTTTGGACCGTTGTCGGGATCTGTTGCTTCTATAGTCGCGACTGTTGACCATTTTGTAAGATTGTGAGAAGCAATCTCGATACGTTGATCTTCTGGGCATTGCGGAGCCGTGTTGGTGCTTACATCAGTTACGATAAGACGGAGACTTACTTCGTCTGTTTTCGGCGGTGAACCATGATCAGACGCCTTGACCCTCACCACGTACGTGCCACTTTCCAATGTACTGCTAACGGTTACACTACCGTTTGAATCAATGGAAACAAAGGGACTGACACTTGTGATTCCGTAGGTGATTCTGGAGTTATCATCGGACCTGTCAGCATCATAAGCTTCTACAGTAGTCACGTAAAAGCCGATAGGGGTATTGGATTGAAGATTGTACTCGGTTTCAGGGGGGATGTTGATAACAGGTTTGTTGTCATTCTGGTCCGTTATGTTTATATTTACCGTGGCTGTTCCCGTAAGTGTCGGCACCCCTTGGTCAAATGCCTCAATAATGAGACTGTACGAAGTTTGCTCCAATGATTCAAAGTCAAACTCAACGAGTGAAGTTATGATCCCTGAAGTATGATGTACTTCAAAGTTCTCATCGTCAGAATCGTTTAGGACAAGTCTGTACCTGACTTCACCGTTGCCTCCACTGTCAGTATCATTTGCATATACCGCTAGTATTGCTGTGCCAACTGGCTGGTTTTCGGGTAGAGTGGCATCGTATCTGTCCTTCAGGAATACAGGAGTGTTCTTGTTTGGTAAGGTCTCGTCGCTGCAGTTGTCTCCTTGGAACCCAGGGAAACATACACACGTGTTTGGGGCAACGCACGTGCCTTGGCTGGAGCAGTCACCTTTACTGCTGCAGTCTGCAACGTTACAGGAACGGCCTGACCAGCCAGGATTGCAGCTACATTCGTCGAAGTCCACACATCTCCCATGGCCTGTATATTAAGAGTGAAACATCATTCAGCATTGTTAAGTTTAGTGAATGCACATTATGGAACAATTAAACTGTCATTCAACTAAAAAAAAGACCCATTGTAGTCAAAGACTGGGGGCGATATCGACTTTCAGCAACCCTTGATCCGTAATTGCTGACATTTTGTCATCATTATCATTGTCGAGTCGGCGCTTCCCGCATGCTTCCAGCCCTCTCCAGGATTGGATAATGACAAAGACTGAGCAGTTCATTTAAAAATTCTCGAGAATATGTAAACATTTCAAATGCTGCTCAACATTTAATGTTTTTCATGAAAGCATGTATCAACAATGAGTTGTTAAAAATAGGATCCCCTAACATTTATGTACTGTTGTAGTTCATCCTCACTTACCTGAGCAATGGCGCAAAGATTCACATGAAAAGTTGGCGCAGTCGTATCCTGTGTACCCACTGTCACACTGACACAGGTCGGGCTCTATGCAGCTGCCGTGGTCAGTACAGTTGTTCCTTTCAGTACAATCCGAGTGATTACAACTAGCACCACTGAACCCTGGGAAACAGCTGTAAAACAAAGACAACGTCTTATAGACAGTGGAGAAGTTATAACAGTGGAGACGTAAGCATCATTTACGTCAAAAGTGTATATGCGTGTAGATGCATACATAAAACACAATATGAAAATTGCGATAGCACAAACAGGAATATCTAAAAGGTATGTCAAATCAAAAATATGATCAAAACGCCTGAAGAACCTACCGGCATTCATTTTGCCCATCATGACTGATGACGCAAACCCCGTTTTCATTGCATTCTTGCAACTCAGGACAGCTCTGGGCTTCACTGCAGTTTAAACCCTGATATCCGCTGTAACACTGGCAGGTGTTCGGACCAACACAGTCTCCTTGGTGGGAACACTGTTTAACTTCAGGACAGTCAGGAGTGACACAGGAGCTGCCGGTCCAGCCCTGCTCACAGTAACAGACATCTATGTCCACACAGCGGCCGTGCCCTGCATGAAAAATGTTTATTTCAAATTATTAGAAGTAAATATCAATGGTTCATAAGTTACTCAAATACCCGCCTATTGATATTGCCTTGCTTGTTACACTGGCTGTTTGTTTTGCCTGTCACGTTATGTAAAGTGAGAAAAGCGTAGAGTATGTATCTTATTTACCTGAGCAGTAATCCAACGCTGCACATGAGAACTGGTCACAATTGTCACCTGTCCACTGTTCATCACACAAACAGGTATCGTAGTCCACACAAACCCCGTGGCCTGTGCAGTTAGCAACATTTCCGCACGTGGGGACCTTGCTGCAGTCATCACCTGTTTTTGGTCAACAGCAATTCATTTAACAGAGAATAATCTAAATCCAGATAAGAAATTGGAGATATCAAACTCCCGGAAAGTGTTTTGGTTTTTTGAAATGTACTGTATTATGACAGGACAATACCCAATTAGTACTCCTACGACTTGCTGACTGTATTGTACATGTATACTCCGAAAGTACACCATGGTTTATGTTTCATACAATGATTACACATGATTACACATTTCTGGTAACTTCGAACCACATCCCTACACCAGGGCCATACCGGGTAACAACACTGTCAATCAACTAAAATCTAAACTCCACCTACTTACTTCCGATCATACAAAGTCCCCATAAACCAGTGCCACCAAAAACCATACTTTCGTCCCAAAAGTAAATAGCGGTTAGTACACACAGAGAAAAGACATGCATAATTCAATTTAAGATGGCATGTTGTACATCTTACCTATATATCCAGGTTTACATCTGCAGACATCTGTGGCTACGCAGGTCCCGTGACTCATACTGGTGCAGTTTTGTACGGCGTTGCACGTTGCTACATGATAGATGAAATATAGAAGGTACTATGTTATCTGTAGTCATTTTTTTTTCAGATACACGTACACATTGACAAAAGACTTCGAAGATAAAGTAAGAAGTTATAAGCCTTAAAAGGGGTAAAAAATTCTGACTTACTAACTATACAATTGACCATATTATCAGCATTCCGATATTACCTTGTTGATCACAGGCTGCTCCCTCCCATCCGGGCTCGCACACACAGAAGCCCAGCTCACATCTCCCGTGATCCTCGGAGCAGTCTGTGCAGTTTCCAACGTTACAGTCTTCACCAGACCAACCCGTTATACAGTCACAGGTTCCGTTTACACAGCGACCCCTACCGGAACACTGGTTTGGGCAACCTGTGATATTTGAATTACAGCAACAACATTTTTAATCAGACAATCAATGTTTATAGTAACGCGTGCAAGGGAGCATTAAAATCTACCGACATAGAAAATACAGATTCAGAATAGGCAATAAAAATGCATGTACGCCGACCTTTGAAAACCTCCTGCTCCGTGAAGGTTGTGTCGTTGGTGATTGATACGTCAAAGACGCATTCATTCAAAAGAGTGCCGGTCAATCCGAGAGCTATACACATCTCTTCTGCTTTCTGAAAGATGTATTAAATGAAAGACAAAAACTGTATTTTGTATATTGCTGTCCATAGTCTGTAGTATATCCTTCCATATAAATGTAGTAAAAAGCCATTACACCAACAGTGGATGTAGTAATTGCAAAAATTCTTTAATTTTTTATTAGAATAAGTCCAAACCATTGCAGGTAGATGTAATTTAGATATCAATAACTTACTTCCTTTTGCTCCTGAGTCAGTCCATCTATGCCGGCAGAAGGACGGTGGTTCGGGTCAGAATAGGCAGGATCCATGACGTCATCAGAGTGGAAGTTAGAAGAGTTCCATGACCAGGACCCCATCAGACCAGATCCGTAGTGAGTGCTATTTATACGCCCTGAAATATTAATATTAAATCCCAGTACGCTTCATGCATATGCTTACAACACAATGAAGACATTATTACAAAAATTAATTAACATTTTTTTTGCCATTTTACCAGCATTGCTTTAAAGACATGACCCATTACTTACAAGTCTCAGCAAATACAGAAGTGTCGTTGTACACAGTGCCGTCAGGACCAGTGAAGTCATTGTCACCATCGTCGTCCATCAGCCCGCACAGTCCCTCCGTGTTGCCCTTGAACGCGGCAGTGGGACTGAACAAAATATTCAAAAACTGTCGGCCCATCTTTGGTGAGTACCGGACGTCAAAGGACACAGTTGCACCTGGTTGTTTTAAACAAACAAAACAAAAAACAATTCCATTAACATTGTTGACCTGATCGGTATTAATATAAGGCAGAATTTTTTTTATTTATTTTTGATTACTTGTACTCTTTGTTCATATCATTTATTATCTCTATTTTTTTATCTCTATTTTATTTGATTGTCTATGTCCTTTGTAACTTGTTCTGTTGGGATACCTTGGAAATCCGTTGTTCTAAACTGAAGGTACCACCCTACTGTTTTTAAGATTAATAAATAAAGAAGAAAATAATAACTTAGCGGACTAAGAAAATGTATATCACATGTATCATGCAGGTTCTTGCATAGAACCATGATATTAGATGAATATGTTTCTACAAAGTCTAGTTATTAAAAGGTCAACGCACACATAATTGCGTTAATATACTTCAAAACGTTGCAAAATTTCACCTGATGCAAAGGTAACAGACACGATGATAACAGCCCCTGATTCCGTAGCGTTTGTAGAAGGTTGCTGAGCCAGGAGATGGATTGTTCCGTTGTTCAGGAGATATTTCTCTCCGACAGAAAGTTGACACAGTTCACCGTCGATTCTAAAGTGGCCAAAAAAAGACGTATTTTGTCATTTGCTGTCTTCTTAACATGTTGTTTAGTATCAATGGAAATTTGCAAGGTCATATACGTCGTATACGTCGGAATATTGTCGTACGATTCCAAACTGAGGGCGGTATTGGGATAGTAAAGCTGAGCATATGTCCTGAATGATTTAACTGTCGTCTTGCATTCTTGTCTAGTGTTGCTTCACTTTGAGCCTGTAGGACGACCTAAGACGCATGCTACGACCAAGGAAGTTTAATATAAGATTAAAACCTCCTTGTTAGGACGCAGTTATTAAATAGCAATGAATATAATACAATCTGTACCTTATGTTGGGAACGTCCTTTTCCGTTGCATTCTGTAACGTCATCAGAGTGACAATGCTGTGTCCAGCTTTTACTGCAACTCCACCAATCAGAGAAGCACCTTTATACGCGTACATCCGGGTCTGTACGCCGAAGTCATTGGACACGCTCTTACAGTCCCAGAACTCACCAATGCCATGATAGTCATATGATGTCCCTTTAAACGCAAAACAAGTGGCCGATTTGAGATTCTAATGAATAAAGAATGATTCAAACAATTACCACTGGCATTTCAGAAAGAGAAGTTGAGGGTATGACTGACGTAAGAGTTTTCCAAACGTGTTAAATTATTTCGGTGAGAAAGAAAGAAAATAGGCAGCTATACTAGGGAATATACCAGGGAAGGTAAGTTTTTATTTGAGTCATTGTTTATCTTTGAGCCTGTTCTGAGTAATCACGGGCTATGTACATGGCGACAATTCAGGTATTACAATCGGTTAATATGATCTATGTGATATTTGAAGAAATTCTGAATGCACAACGTGAAATATCTGCAAAGATTGACATATCCCTTCAAGTAAAAAATGAAAGATCAATGATGAAAAAAATACCATCTAGTGTCTGGAGATGAGGGTCCCCTCCAATAGGACGAGGACGGCGCAGCTCACAACAGCGACCGGCCCACTGGCGCGAACAGCGACATGATGACCTACAATGGTGTCTCGACGATGAAATGCATCGTCCATTTCCAGAGCAGCCTACAAAATGTAGAAGGTTTGTGATAATAGACAGTGCAGCAGTCAAACATTACCCGTGTGACCACATGATGTATAACATCAGGTTGTCTACAGCATCTACAACGATGTGACAATCTGAGCTGGTGTTACGTACGCTGAAGGGTGGTACCGGTTATATCGGTACAAATACAATCACAGACATAGAGATGCGAGGCCAATCAAACGCGTCACTAGAATTCAAGAACCTCGTAAATACCGCCCATGGCATTACCAGAAATTTAGATTTTGTTTATTTGTTTATCAGGGAAATACATATCGCCTGATCATAAACCTTTAAAGCTCCTCTGCAACATATGATCAATCCTAACGTTCCTATTTATTACCCCTACCCGCCTACTAAGTTTATGATCCATCCATACAATCCCGTGATATCCTGTTAACACAAAAGGTTCACTGCAGTGACGTAGGAGTCCCCATTTTTAAACTTGACATTCGTTTCCCGAGCAGTATCATTCGTACCAAAAGTCATGAACCATCATTGGCACTCACCAGTAATTTTGCGGCATATATCCACAGTCACTCCATCAAAGCCGAACCAAAAACATAACCTTCTGGCGATGGGGATAGTAGTGCCATACATAATTAAAAACCTGCCAAAAATAATGATACTACATCGGGAATTATTAACTGATGACTGTACCTTGACATGGCCTGCAGTCTGGCTGTCTACAGTCCGGCCCCATCCTCCCCACCACACATATAGGTGGGATCCCGCACTCTGTCTTCTGTGGACACTTACAGACACAGTCTTGCCACTCGGGTTCCTCGTCATTCTCACAGTCAGGACAGCTGTGCGTGGTATATTGCAAATGTCATCAGGAAAAGTAAATACATCAACGCATATCATCAGATACATTTTTTTTTTAAACTGAAAGGTGCCTTATTGTTGACTGAAAGAAAACACAACATCTTTCCACTATTTTTTTCTAAAGTATATATTTTTTTTAATCCCGGAGCAAGTATATCAAAAGCGCACAGTGTGTTTCTACGCAGCTTTTACTTACTTTACACAGCTGGTGTTTTACGCATAAGGCAGTTTTAACGTATTTGATAAACAAATAATTGAAGAATTGAAAGAGCCCATATATGTCCAGGTTCTAGGTTGTCATCATGTCTTTATCTAATTTATATCAATATTATTATAATGTTTCTATTTACTGGCAAAGACTATAGTATCAAAATCTTACAGCATTGTCACGTTACTGTAATGTTCGCATTTCTGTTAACCATGTTGCCATTACAAGGCATTGTGTACGTATGTATATTCTATTAAATGTTAAGCAAGACGTGTTGGTACTTCACCTGTCAGAACAGATGCAGCCTTCAGGACCCAGAACCGACTCGTGGCAGTTGTTACAGGTGCACTTACACGGACAGCTGCCGTCACTCAGCACCACATCCCTGCTACCGTCTGGGCAGGTGCAGGAACACTGTAACCATAAAACGATGAACATCCAAAAAGTGTTGTCTTTCACAAAACTTACACGTTAAAACATGGCAGAGTGCAGAGAACTTCTGCTTTTTAAAAATCCGCATGTCTATGGCAATGTTGATTGAATAGAATGCAATACACTATTGCAAACTAAAATACATAAAATACATCATATACAACATATGGTTCACAACATAACCGTTACGTAAATATATGACATATCTCCTGAATTATACAATGTAAAAATAATATCAAGAAAAACGTACAATAGATTACATTTGGTTAAAAATATCTAATATCACTACGGATTAGCTCTGTTAGAAATATTATTTATACGTATTAGTTTATCTAATAGTATCTTTGTTGTTTCTTCTATTTCAAACATTGTACCAGTTACAATTGTTGAACAGTAGAGTTGGTTTGTTGTTATTTAGCATGCATCGTTTACTGTATAAAACACAATCATTTACAACATACGGTACATAACAAAACGTACGTCACATTTCCCACTCTCAGTGTATTCCGATGTGCTGTTATCAGGACACAGACATGGGCAGTGCAGATGTCCCTGGGTGTTGATTGTTCTGAAGTTCCCATCGGGGCAGACATCGCAGTTGCACCCAGAACCAAGAACCCCGATATGCTGTTTTAAAGAAATAACGCTAGTCATAAATGTAGCCACCTAGTGTACTAGTATTTGTTTGAATTCATAATTGATCAAATTTATCATTCGTATGAACTTCTGGGAGGAAAATCGTCATCTCATACATTCTTCATTGACTTAATGACAGTACATGAGACATTTTCGTATGGCTTGCTATAACTGAGATTAAACAAAACGAATGCATGTATAAAACAAGTCACTCATATACAAATATAATGGTGGTTATTCATACAGTGAAGCTCAAATTTCCACTTGGACAACGGCAAGGGCACATGCAGAATCTCTCGTTTGTAGGATGTGGCGTCCCTGTTGCTCCACCAGGGCATGGACACTCCGGCTGGACCGAACAGATGTTCATATTTGACGGCTGCGCTTTGCAATTTCTGTAAAAAGAGAAACGTGTCGGCTTATGAGTTATTTTGGAAGCTTTACGAAGTTACATTTGATGACACTTTTTGGGGTTAAAAATTCAACTTTTTTCACCTATTTTTTGCCCATAAAATCATTTTTTGACATCTCTGTTGGCCGAAATGACCAGTGTCAGTGTCTAATTTAACAAGCTACCAGCATACTGAATGTCATTTCTTTCAGGTAATTGGTACATATATATTAGAATATTCGTTTTTCTCGTAACATTCATACATAGACATACACGAAATTTGCAATATGATTTCTAACCTTTCAGAGTGCATCCAGTCGCCACGTTTCCAGTGTTTTTCCTGATAGTAGTCCTTGTTTCCGGTTAGTACTTCGAACGCCCCTTTTAGATAGTCCAATGATGAAGTGACTCCGACAAACTGTGGTTTGTCTGGATATGGACATTCTGTAGAACAGGACTGGGTTGATACACGCAGGAGTGCTTCGGATTGAAGGGATGTGGTTATACTGTACCCAAAGGCATCATCATGACCATTTCGACCTGAAAACAAACATAAGTAATGGATTTAAGACATCCGCATCTATTTTTTGCTTCGTTTGCTCATTATGTTAAGCTCAAATTTGATTTGTAAAAGATGGAACTGAGACATCATATTTATTTGCGTTGTTAAGTCATAGTCATCTGAAACTGACAGTGTAAGGAAAAGGGAAATACATGTATACAATTTTTGCTATGTTTCCATCAAAGTCAATGAACCGGGCCAGACGTCTGTCACCATGGTAACTGGTGCTGTTGCAGACGCTCAGTGGTGTTGGATTACATTAGGTAGCAGGGCAGAGTTGGAGTCGCTGCTTTTACTATATAAAATATCAAGATGTGTTTGAGTAAGAATAAACTGAACTGAACTGAGTAAACAGAGCAGTAGTTTATTAGGCTAAACCATGTGCATTTAAACATTAACTTTTAAAATGTTACCCTTCTAGTTGCTCACAATTGTTGTCATTGTTTTTGAAAACTGATTAGGTTGGCACCGAAAATGATTCTTACTGACACAAATGAGGTGGCAGCTAGTACATGTTTAACCCTAAACAGTACACCTGGGGTCCGCGCGGACCCCAGCGCGCTATATATGCTGTAATATATTTTTTGTTTCTAAAGATTTTCTGAAATTTTAGGTAATTGTCACCCACAAAGTTGTCTCTCAATACAGTGCAGAAAACTCCGTTTCTACCATTTATAAAAAAATTATATCTGATTTTCTTTTGGGGTCCGCGCGGACCCCAGCCGGCTTTCGATCATAATGGATACACTCGCGTTCTTATACATTAACTTATTTCCGTTTTTATATGTTTTTATGCACTCATCGTATGTCTACCAAGTTTTCAGAGAATGGTGTAGTAATAGAATTTTAGTAACTTTGGTGTAATTATGACGTCATATGGACAGAGCTAATAATATAGTCCGCCATATTGGATTTTGACCAATGACGTCATCAAATTAGCATATTCTATGCATATTAAATGATTTAACTTATATTTAATTATGTAAGATGTTATTAATGTTGGAAAAGACGTGTTATTTAATATAAAACTCAGGAAAGGTCTCCAAATTTGATACTTCTAGCGCAAGCCGTTTAGCCGCTATCTGAGATCAAAGTTGGGCCTCAAAAGCCCCTTCTGTCTGAAATGGGTTTAAAAATCGGGTATTTCCTCTTGTCTTCTTTTCTTCACAAAAAAAAATAAAAAAAGGTCAAAATGTATGATTTTTGTATGTAATGTGGACACAGAGGTTCCCACATCAGTTTGCAAAATAATTGAGCTGGTAGCATGTTGATAATTTCTAAAAATTAGCAAAAAACTGTTCTGGGGTCCGCGCGGACCCCAGGTGTACAGATTAATCAGTCCGGGGAGGTGTACTGTTGAGGGTTAATACAAATGTGTATACTTCAAGTTTGATCGGACAAAAATTACGTATTTACTATTTGAAACCGGCGTACGCAACGTACCTACTGCCTCTTTAACAGATGGTAACATGTTGGCATCCTTTTCACTTTCTCCGGAAGTGGGAAACTCGATGAAAAACGTTGGTTTTACTTTGAGCTCCAATTGGATGGTATGGCCTCTTTTAGTTGCCGTCCCCGAGTAGGATGAAATCACGATATCTGCACTGCCCTGTAGGTAATAGACAGTACGTAACTAAATATGTCAACTACTTGAAAGTTGAAAGTGAAAACCACTTAGTATTCAGTAAGTGAAAAAAAAAAAACCTTCTTTAAAACACAGAGAGACAGTAATTACCAAAGTAGATAGGAAGTTAAATTATAAGAGGGTAAGTTGTAGGTAGTTTTTAGTCTGAAGCTTTTATACCATTGACCACATTAGATGTAAATGCACTATATGCACTAAAGCAAAGTTTAGCAAACGTGAACTACACTCACAGATTCCTTCTTCTGATCAAACGAAAACCATTGAGCCCCTCCCTGTGGTTGCCAGGTGCCACCACCGTCAATATCTGCTTTGGTTACTGTGGAGGACATTTGGATACTGCCTGGACCCTGATATGTAAAATTGGATAAAGGAGAGTTACTGAGAAACAGCAATCTCAGTTTTTATTCGTTCGCTTTAAACCGACATCTAGAACTTCTTTAACAAACAGAATATATATTATAGAGCAGAATGCTGGCATTGCCGTAAGATGGTTATCTAATAGAATTAGCTTTCAGTAGTGCGTATACGTTTGTGTATGTACTCGTATTGATGTTATATATTTTTTTTGGTATAATAGCAGTGTGTGCAAGATGTCGTAATGATTATCCAATCAATTTGAGATACATACCTCAGCATAGATTTTATACGAAGTGGCAATGTCCGCCCATATTTTGGCTGGTATGCACATCCCGTTGCCTACACAGACAGATACGTAGGTGGGAGACAGCACCATCCGAAAATCTCCCTTCGTCTGTGTGCTATGTCAATGAAATGAGTAATTCGCAATTACTAGAATGTAAAATATGGTTTGTATAGCGACAAACACTAAATTTAGTACATTTAAACACAGAAAACCTGCAAAGCAATTATCTATTTTAAATTCAATTCCCAAACATTAAGAACACGAAATCACCAGATCTGTTTTGTGTACATGTTATTTAAATGCCCAAAATGTTTTTATTACTTCACGGTAAGGAAGGATTGGTTTGAGTGACTACACTTTGGCTTTGTGTAGTTTTTATTTCGGACATAGCAGGTCGACAGTACACGGGTGTTGCAAGATTGACAGGCAGACTAACATGACTTAAAGGTCTCAGGACCTGGCCAAAAGCCTGCAGAAATTCAGGAAGCTGGGTATTGCGTATGTAATTAAGTTTCTTCTAAGATATTCATGGTAATTACAATGCCTTGCTGGTTCTTCTTACCTTTTCGAAATGATTAGAGAGCCTTGCAGTCCAACTTCCAGCCGTCCGCCGATAAAGAAAGTCTCGGCCTTTTTTAGCGTGGGGGTTCGAAACTCTGACGTCGAAACTCCAAGTGAAAACTTGATTCCAGTTGTGAGTTCCCCACTTGTAGATAGTGTGATGTTAACCCTATCATTGACATCCTGTAAAATAAGTTACAGTATGTTTGAATTTACACAGTATTTAGAAGACATTTTTTTCAGTTTCTTTCCACGATCAGTAACATTTTGTTCATATGATCATTTTCCCCTTTGTGATTAAACCGAACGTTTGTTATGTCATTTAGCTTATAACCTAGGTAGTACGTAGCTAGATATTGAATAAATCGGTTGCTGTTTAACCACAGCAGATGTCTCTCTTATTTAAATAGTTGTTTATCTATCGGCTGAGTTTCAGAAAAAAAAGTGATATGAGTTTCTTCAATGAAAATTCAGTTCACAAATTACAACAATTTGATATTAGCCATATACCGACATAATAACGGTGTAAACAACAAGTCTTACCCAGAATTGGTCTTCAATTAGGATGTTTAGAGAATGCATGTCTGGAGATGTGCTGACATCCCCCGGTAGTAGTCGTATTGACGGCCTTTCCATTCTCGACGTGCTCAATACTGGCTCCACCTCCAGTAACGTGAACTCAGCCACCATGGTGATATCAAGAACCTAAAGATTTACATAAAGGCATTCCATATTAGGCCACGTTGATTTGATTACATATATATGGATGACATCCTCTGCGAATGCCAAAACTGATGCGAGCGTGCGAATAAAAAAAGGTTTGGCCAAACTAAAGTTGCTTTCATTATGAAATCTACGTGGTCATGAAGATTGAACAAATGGTACCGGGTACGGTATGGAATCTACTCTTCAAATGCATTTCTTCACATTTTCATCTATTTTGTTGATTTTGGCATTCTACAACATTGGTATCGTTTTCCAATATTTCTTTTGCAACTCACAGTATATGTTTGCTCATTTTGCAACTGTTTTATACAATTTAAAGTATCATATGGTTGTTTTTTTAAGTGGCCGACAATTCATTTGCGCGCGGAGGTCATCCGTATAATGAAATCGACATGGCCTAACTATCATGGACATCGTGGCAAAATTACAAGGTTATAAGGATGCAATTTTTTCATGAGACTCCATGTACCAAGTCGATGTCATAACTTGATATCTTATTAGCAAATCATCCCTGAATGATAACTGCATGGCTTGTACGGTGTCAATAAAAGTAAAGTAAATATAAGAGGATATGCAGCAATGGTCCGTTTAATTATGATGTATCATTTATTGTTAAGAATAATTCAACACGATTTCAAGGTTTAGCTTCTTCTTTGATAGTGGATAATGAACAGTCACAGATTCTGCCTAGTAAGTATGTCTATTAGATCTTGTAAATGGCAAAATATATCTGTGGAAAAAAGTTTCTTTTGGTCTCGTAGTACGTACACTGACAAGGTAAGTGTATTATATATTATTGGAAGTCAACACACACTCATGTTCCTACCTTTGCCAGCAGCCTGCCACTCCTTCTCCCCACCACCACGTCGCCAGTCTCCAGGTCCACTTCTCTTCCCGCAGAGTCCACGATGAGCAGCCCGTGTGCGCCCTCCGGTCCGCCCGAACACGGCAGGGAAGCAGGGAGGGTTACTCTGCCCGTCGTAATCAGTTCTTCGTGGAAGCTATGAAGTGGCGAAAATGAGCAATTGAAGAATCAATAAAGACATTTATTGTACATTCATACCCACTGGTTATAGTACTAGATGCAAACAGAAGAAAGACTTGTATGTATACAAATACAATACATAGGATGATAGAGGAAGCACTAGTACTATTAAAAAATTGAGTTAGAAATGAAATGTGTTATATTTCTAGATGCATATTATCAATTCCAATAGTAAGGTGATTTAAACTTACTTAAAAGTTGAAAAGCAGTCCTGCAGTTGAGTTTGTATGAAAACACCGATTGGTGTCGTTGTCTGCTGGATAACCTGCTCCAGTATCCCGTTGCTATGGTTACTGACAATGACATCACCAACTGACAGGTTGGCAGGAATGTCTCTCATCAGCAGGTGGTAGCTTCCCTCTCCTTCATTCATAGCCCGGGATCCAATACACTTGTAAACAGGGGCATCTGCATAAAAGCATTTGTTCATAAACAATTGTGGCAGGTAATTATTAATACGGATTCGACTTCTGACATCACAGCCACCACTGTATACATACAATATTGAATGGAAGACCTCATTTCAAAAGTTTGCATTCTATATACGATACAAGTAATACAGTACTATACCAATGACCTACGTATACTGTACCAGCATCCTTATCCCGATAAAGGCGACATCAACAGTGCTCGTTCAAAATTTGATCCTTATTCACCTGTGCAATAGCTCGATTGATAGAGTGCTCGCTTTGTAACCGGGAGGTCGTGAGTTCAAGCCCCGGCCGGGTCATACCAAAGACTTTAAAAACTGTACACATTTCTTTCTCTGCTTAGCACTCAGCACATACAAGAAAGAGTGTGGGAAGGTCAGACACACAGCACTACCAGCGGACTAGCCCCCTGCTGTAGTGCCTTGCACAACTGTGCGTCGCCCAAGGGCTACAGAAATGGAGATGGGCACCACCCTACGCTCTGCATAAGAGTAGTGAGGAGCTTCTTCTTCTTCTTCTACCTTTGCTGGAATAGATTTAGCATCTTCATATTTTTTGTACGGCAGAAAGATGCTGAAAAGTAGGCAAAGACTACCATTGAGACACGAAGAATTTCTATCACTACACACCTTCTTTGATGACATGAACAGTGCTCCCATCAAGTGCCCCGTTGCCACTCAGCACCCTTTCCACCTCGGACAGTTCAGGAGCTCCCTCGTTCCTCTTCATGTCCACAGCCATCTCCAGCTGAACCTCCTGGCTGAAGTCACTGTAATCCAGCATGTCCTCCAGAGTAGCAGGGTGCGACACTATCACGGTGTAACTGTCTGTAGCGGAGACACAAGGCAAATATCAGCTTCTTTGACGAGGTTCGAATAATGGTTTTCAATTGAGTAGATTGCTACCCAACATTGCAATAAATAAATCAAATGAATCAATCATCCCGGCGTATCAGGAAATAAAAAAATAGTGGCAGCAGACATCTATATTTAGGATGTTCTATTTTCAGCAAAGGATGCATTAAATCTAAATATTTCAGCCAGTTGGCCATTGTGACGCATAGTCCTCTTGTGCGCTTCAGTGTTCAGTCTGGTCGTGTAGTAACTAGTTTTATCACTTCCTTTATAGGTCCATTTCAGTTCTGGAGGCGTTATTCAACCTTGTGACTCGGAAAATTATCAGCATAAACCCACAACTTCATCTAGTATAGTTACCCCTATAAAGATGCCCTTACCTGTCTTTAGTACTTGTTCCACCTTGTGTAGTACACCGTTTGCCTGAGGACTGGACAGCACCTGACCAATCCGAATGTCCAGGTCCCCTTCATTCACAAACATGGTGGCTCCCCAGCTGGAGAAGCGGACAGGACACCGGTACAAGATGTTGCCTTCCAGCGGGACGTACTCGACGTTATGGCCGATGAGAATCTTCTCAATGCGCGTGGTGTCGTTGTATAGTGGGTGGATGAAGCCCTTCGGACACTGATCTTCATTCCACACTTTACAGAAGCCATCAACCTGATTCAAGATCAAGGATGTTAGTAGTCAGTTGGGAGTAACCTTTTTTTTCGAACAAGAACAAGCAGACTGTATTTCAGGTAATATACAGAAGGCATTGAAAACCTATAGGAGTTTATTTAGTTGTTGAATCCAGAGCCGTGCCTTATCAAGAACCATGCTCAGGCACGGTTCAGCATAGTTCACACGTACAATGGGCAAATCTACATTCTTGGTTACGTGAACACAATTCAGAACTTGCCTGATCATAACCATTCAGGTATAGAACTTTTTTATCAAAACATCACAACATAACATAACAATGACATTGTGGCGCTCCACTTAAGATTACAACTTATGTTAACAGCGCCACACTCTCATTGGGAGCACAGCTGCCGATGCGGAGCCGAACAAGAAGGGCGCAGGTGTAACGCGGGCCACAATTGTGATGTGGGGGACGAAGGGGACGTACTAATCTGATAAGGTGTTTTCGGAACAAGGGAGAAAGAACTTCGAGATATCTATCTCATTAGGCAAGTTTCTGGATACACCAGTTGTAGATGTTAATGAAGTACATTGGGAAGGTATAGTATAGGTAAACAGTTACCGTTTCCTTGAAACATCCTTCAATGTCCTGGCATCTTAGACACGACTCTACTGTCGTCGTTGAGAGTGCCTTGTTGCACTGCCGGTGTTCACAGTCGACAACCTACGGTAGCGACAAGAACCACAAACGGCAAATATTCCCCCAAAAAGTAAGTACCAGTGTTATCACATTTTAAAAAAGCTGACCAGTGACTATAAAAACTATCAATTTGCATCTGAAGTATATGAGGTACCAGACGCAGATGGGTAGCAGCATTATAGTAGACACGTGGGACAAATGGAGCAAATAGACTGAATATTACACCGGAGAAGTTACCTGGCCCAAGGAATACAGTTTGCAAACTGTACTCTGGCCAGCTGCTAGAAACTAATTCGGTATACCTCTTTGTCAATGAGTATACTATCCGGTCTATTTGGCTTATTCTAGAACTTACTATTCCCTCTATACCTAGGTAACCTGGTAAAGGCTAAAACCAAAATAAAATGACTTACATCGATGTGATGAGAGCAACCTCCTGTCTCTCCTACGGTGAAGCAGCTGTGATAGAACCATGTGTTACAGGGCATGACGTCAGGACCTCTGTACAGCCCAGATTCACACCTCTGCCTCTGGTCACACCATCCGCATCCGACTGCCATGGAGCACGACTTACAAGTGGTGAAACGGTTGCAGTAGCTAACCGTGCATGCACGACCCTATATGCCGTAGAAAAATTACATTAAAAACAAATTATATATGATACAGGACACAGTTAGCCCGGTTCTAAAGATGTATTAAGTGCTCGATTATTGCAGTACAATTAGATAAACCGAATAAAATACATTTCAAATGATGGATGGAGATTGATTTTGAAAACTTTTGTTGCCTACCTCATTTGTAATATATTGATGATACAAATATGAATTACCTGCCATCCATTTCTACATTTGCATATGTTGGGTCCAACACAGGTGCCAAAGTCTCCACAGTCGTTCCTTTCTTTGCAGTTTGCCTTGGAACAGTCCTCTCCCTCCCAGCCTCTCTCACAGATACACGTTCTTAGAAAACAGCCTCCGTGGCGGGAACAAGCGTTGGGACAGTCTTCAACTGTGCAAACACAATCAGAAGGACTTTGTGTTGCAGTATCGTCAATGAATGACAATTTGGCATTTCAATGGATGTTTTCAAACGCATTAAACGTATTAGTGGGTCCCTTGTGGAATCCTCGGCTGCCTAAATCCCCCATGTTGACCCCACTTTTCTTCTATCGCACGGCTAGAGCCATTTTTGTGTCTGACCTGCCTGTCAATCGTTTCCGGCCCACGTGCTGTCGATCTACTTTATCCGGAGAACAAACACACAAACCCAAAGCTCAGCCCAATACTTTCTTGCAAGACAATTACATTGCAGTTAGCCCAAAGCTTTGAATATATAGCGCGACCTTACCTATTGGCCTTTTGCAGATGAAGGGATATAGGGAATCACAGTCAGCAAACGTTTTGAGTGCCCCGTTGGACGGCAGATGTAGTTTGCACTTGTGCGACGAATTTCTGGTCTTTTGTAAATAAACAATATAAACATTCAAAACTAATAGAAATCAACACTAATTTACGAATATTCACGGAATTTGGGTACGCGCTTGGATGCTTAATATTTGTGTCAAATATGTATGTCGATTTGTGAAGAAAGTTAAACTGTTCTCCAACTAAATTACCAAAATTAACGAAATTTCGACTGAATCGCTCAGTCTTCATCAGCTTTACGGGGCGGTACCGACTTCCGACGAACTTTGACCCAGTGCAGAGTCACACGTTGCTGAAAGTCACGTGTCCAAAGCACTTGGGTCATAAAGCTTGTGAAGACTGAGCATTGGAAAATTTCTGGTGAGATAATTTCGGTTTTTAGTTGGAGAACAGTTAAACTTTCTTGTACCAACTCAGATGAACGTTCATGATGTATGTCGATTGATTATTTCAAAGAAACCAAACAAGTGATAGAATAATTAAGACACCTTGCCATTAACGATGTCATCATTACTTACATTCATATCAGGCCTATCCTTCCAGGTTGGTACATCGGGTGCGAAATGAATTTCTCTTGCGCGGATCATGCTTTCAATCAACTCTAGTTCCTTGCCCAAAAACGATCTGGCGATTACGGCGCGCTGAATCTGAAAAACAGGAACTAGTATTTAGCACGAGTTATAATTAACACTCAGCGTGGCGTAAAGATATATTTTTTTCTAAAAAAATCCACAAGTCGTCGTCGAAAATCATCATCATGCTGATGTAAAGAGCATGCTAAAGTAAAGCATTTACTTTTTAAGCAACATAAGATCTTTTTACAGTCAAGTTGCAAATGTTGTTACATGATATACACTCTATTATCATTTATTATCTTTGAACAATAATTTACTAGTATTCATGTGACTTCCCATAACCACTTGAAGACCTGACCCTTCATCCTAGAAAACATCAAATGGGTTAAAAATCCTCGGGATCGGCAGCCATTTTTAATTATGGGTTCACCACACCACGAAGTGGTGGTGAACCCATATTGCTTTTTCTGATGTTTCTTCTCGTTCTCCTCCTTCTCCTGCCATTTTTTAAATGGATTCAGCTTCTTCATTTTAGGGCCTAAGGTCCTGAGATTTGGTATGGAGGTACAGTGGGCAAATACCCCTAGGCGTTTTTTAAATTTTTGTGATACAGGCTTTTAGAATGGTTTTATTTGAGTTTTTTGGCTGTGTTATAGCAAATGTATTACTGTATAAGTGTGCCGTGTTAACCACGTCTGGGCATGAGTCATCACAATGGAATGCAGGGCATCAACCAATAGGCATGCAGCTTTCCTCTATACTTCTTGCTGATTGGCTGTTGGGATTTAACTTGATTAACACCTGCACAGAGCATTTCCACCTGCACAGAGCATTTCTTGCTGATTGGCTGTTGGGATTTCACTTGATTAACACCTGCACAGAGCATTTCCATACTGACAGTATGTCTGTATTCAAGTGTTTTGGTAGGTATTTCAAGCTTTCCTGCTCCAGCATTGGAATGCGGGGCATGGACGTTTTTTTATTTTATTTTGAAAATCAACAGTTTGCATTATGCAATTAAAAATCCTAACCAATAAAGTAGGGAATAGCTATCCAACTGTTGTTTTAGTTGTATTTTACTTCATATTATAGTTATATCAATGTAAATCATTGTTTTCCCTTGTGTTTCTCATTGGCCTTTCTAGTTATACATGTATATTACTTCATATTATATTTATATAGATGAAAAACATTATTTTTCTTTGTGTTTCTCACTCTACACCTGCCACTTCGTTGAACGTATTCAACTTTGGGAACCGAACGATCTGATGACCTCTGTAATCTCCAAGCAGATACACGGTGGCATGGGTATTTTCGAGCAGATACAAAGTGGCTTGGCCTCAAAGCAGATATAGGGTGGCATGGATCCTGTCAATTTACATGTTCCAACGGCAGAAGGCATTGGAATATTCCATTGCTGCATGGGGGTATAGACTGTTGGAACATTTCACATTTTGAACAGGGGTGACTTAAGAACAATCCATTTGTGTGAGAGGGGGATGTTTGGTATGGGGAATGTGGTGAAGCCATGCTACGTTTGCTCCTGAGCAAATGTCGGCCTTTCTAGTTCATCTTAGTATTCCAATACTCCCTAAACCGTTTTGAGAAAAATGCCCAAAATGTATTTGATATCTTTTTTACAGGGTCATTTGGAGCAAGGATAAATCCAATAAGGAGTTCCAACCACGACGATTCATTTTGGGATTAAAATTCAGAGGTAAGCAAAAAAAATTGGAAGTGTGAAATTTTATGAATATTACCTTGCAGGAATGAGCTGCACCAAACCAATCTTCAGATCCAGCATTGTACATGTAACATGTGCTGAGATGTTTGCTGTACTTCCATCCAAGTGGACAGGGACCTGAAAACATGTAGCGGTAACTTCAGGTAACAGTTACCCAGGTCAGTTAATTAAGGTTCCACAAATCCGCGTTTTCGATTTCAGTAAATATATCATGCAATACTTAGGCCTAAAAGAAATGTTGTGTGTCCTGTTTCACTCCTGAAAAAATTAAGGTAGGCAGGTAGGGATTATCTTTTTTTCCCTTTAAGACTTCAGTGATATCTTTATAGGGGACAAACTTAAAACAAGACAGTTTAACAAAGTCATAATTGCACGATGACACACAAGGTTGCTCAGCTAAAAATTCTATACCCCTTATTGGGGCCCACCCACCAAAAAAGTCTAGGGTCGGCAGGTTTTACTAGGGTCGGTCGGGAAACAGGAAACACAACTTTTTTCCCCTAGGCTTTAGCTGAAACCTGTCTTTCACCAAGGCCTATGAACTAAAACATCCACTCTATGCTGTAACTGTACTTTAGCCTGGGTGCCATCCGTTTTGTAACGCGTTATCCTTTGCATGCACTCACAGCCCCCCCCCCCAAAAAAAAAATATCTTCGCATTTACTATAGAATAACTTTGTTATGTCTATAAATGTACATGTATCTATACTTAACCGTTCTTATTTCATATTTTTTTAATGTACAGCTATGAGGGCTAGTCCTTTATGATAGCCCTCTGCTACCTAGTTAGGCAATCCTTGCTGTATATCATTTATACAGTTTATTAAATCAAATCAAGGAATATGTGTTAATAGTGCCAACAACTCACCATCTGCAGGTAGAACTGCGAGCCACGGATCATAAAAGGCTTGTGCCCAGTTGTGCCTGTCGTCACTATCTCGAATTCGTCTTGAGATAAGATGAGCTGAATTGAAACCCCAGAAGTTGCTCGAAGCGTTGACTGGGTAGTTCCACAAGCGGGTCGAAGTTGCTAGTTCTGCGTCGAATGCAGGATTCATGAAGACATTACCGTGTATCTGAGCATTTCTCCCGGAAACTACCATGGTATATTTTACCCCTGGTACTAACGGTACATTGTCATAAATGAAATTGTTGAATAGCTCTTGTTCCTGAGAATCGTAGCGATTATTCCATTCTATCACATGACGAGCTGAGTTGTTCACAAAAGTGTTTTTCTCAACTCTGCCAGGTGCTTCATCAAATAACAAGATTTGACGTATCTCGCTAGCGTCATTTCCAGAGAAGAAGTTGTTGCTGATCAACACAGTAGTTTTTCTTGAATAATATTGTCCACGCACTAATAATATCGTGCTAATGTGATTCCACCGAAACATGTTGTCAATAACTGTTATGTTCCCTCGCTTCTGCTGGTTCACATCGAGGAGTATAGCAGTCATTCTATTGTTTTGTAGCACATTTCCTCTCACTAGTACATTAGATCGGCCATGGGTCACACTGATCACTGCCTGGTGATTATGTGGTTCTTGTTCCTGGGTGTTTTCGAAAATGTTTCGAAGTACGTCGATTGTACAGTCTGGCGCTTGAGCCGTTATTTTTACGGCCGTTCTGCAGTTGTCGTTGAAGATGTTGTTAACGATTTTGTACACGATGGGAATGCCTGAACCGGATTAAAAGGAAAGAAAAGTGTTGTTAGTATACATGTTACCCGAATAGAAAAATATATTTCACAGTGATGCTTTTAATGGGGAAGATGTTTTGGGTAAGATGCATAAGATTTCAAACAAATACCAAATCAAATACGTATATGTAGTACAAAGTACAAGGTTAATGAAAGAAACTTACTCATTTTGTACGTTGCTAGGAAACCTTGGCCCGAATACCGGTACCATTTCTTGAAAAATATGAACATGTTGTTTCCTGATGAGACGATCGTAACACCTGAGGGGTGGGAGTTGCGATGATATGTTGCAAGTGATGAAGACGTGGTATCGTGTCCGTCATAAACCATTACTTGAGTGCCGTAGCGAAGATTTAATACAAGGAAGTCCAGTAAAATTACATGTCCTTTGGGAGCTTGGATGAGCCACTCACAGTAACTGTACATGTAAGTTGGATATAAAGAGGTTCCGAAGTTTGGACTCGCAAAAGTTGCGCTGGAATTACTGAAGACAAGGGGTGTGCCACAGCGAGTATCAGCTTGTACATTGGTCATTTCTGTTGGTGACATTCTTGGTGTTGCATTGATTGCAATGGCTCCTTCATGAAATGTATTATTGTAAATGAAACTATTTGTGACGGTCGCCATTTTGTTGACTCTTTCAAACGATATGCCGGCTTCGCCATGACAGTTACTGATGGTAAGATTTGTTACATCATAAGTAGACTTTCCAAGGCCATTGATGCCACTTCCCTGGCAGTCCTTTATGTGTACATTCGAAATGCTTCTGCTGATTTCTGAACTATTCAGAAGTATGGCACTGCTTAATCTGGCATGAAGTCGTCCGGTATGTGCGATGACTGCGTGTTTAACTTCGAAATCCTGCTGGCTGTTGCATCTTATTCCTCCCCATTTCTTGGCAATACACATTGGGCGAGGTGATACCGGGGTCTGGGGGTCACAGCGTATTCCTATTCGGTCACTACAAGTAGCTGGGCTTGGTGAGTTGGGAAGACAGTTGGTTATACTAAGTTCATCTCCGTTACAAGTTATGTAAGAGGAACGGTACCATGCAGGTCCTGATTCCCTACCAAATGCATGTGTCCTTGTCGTTGTTGGTGCCCCGTAACCAAGTTCTCTGCATACGACGTTTGCCTCTGGAACCCACCATCTAGATCCATAGCAAATACCACCCCACTGATTATCATAAAGTATTTCAACACGGCCTTCCCAGGGGTAACGACCATTGACCAACCGAACATTGTAAAGATGTGTGGCTGATGGTTCAGAATGGAATTCTATCTGTTCAGCCTCAGTTCCTACAGCAACAAAGGAACCAAGGTTAAAGATTCCAACACAGGGATGAAATCTAATCTGCACTCCCGGTTCCACTGTAACGGACGCATTCTCCAGGATAGTTAGATCTTTCTTGATTGTGTACGGACTTCCCCTTTTTGTGAGATGCAAAGCCCCATTCAGTCGTCCCTCGATGTTATCTGTCGTAATGTTGATATTGCGGATGGAAGGATCAGCTGGTTGAGAGTTTATGTCAGGCCCGGTCAGGTAGGGAAAGTAGTCAACTGGTGCACGGTCGTTCCAGTCATCGTAATCAACAATTCCGTTTCGAATCTCCTGTTCATTGGCAGTTCCCCACCAGTTGTATTTGGCGTCAATCGCCTCATCGGGAAGAGTTGTATCTACTCTGCTACATAAAGTGTGGTTCATGTTTGCATCATTGATCAAGTTACGGATGACAGTGTAGTTCTCTTTGAGTCCTCCTATCTCAATTGTACAGGAGGTGAGGTCTATGTATTGGCCATACTGAAAATTCCCATCTGTTTCTGACGAACTGTAGAAATTGTCATTGAATACATTGTCCCCAATATGGACGGTGACTTTCTCTCTGGTATCGGACTGATCCTCAAACAGAACAGAAAAGGTTTCTCTGGCGTTGTTCTGGCTCAGCTTATTAGAACTGAAGTTGATGTATTTAGGTTGTCCTTTAAAAGCGACCGCGGGCTGGTATGGGCAGCTGGTGTGGATGATCGAGTTGCTTGAAATTTCAAAATTTGCCAGTTTCCCCGTTGCTTGAAGCGCAAAACGTGTATTATTAGTGACAGTGTTGTTGGTCATGGTGATTTGAGGGTATTCGTCATGCCGATAACTTTCAACAATGACTGAAACACCACCTTGCCGGTTTCCCTGGATACGGCTGTTGGAGATGTCCACAGAACTCTCGTATGACAGTTGAAGTTTGACTCCAATTCCGCGATTTCCTTCGCACGTGAGGTTTGTCATGTTGTAAGACCCCCGCGTGTGCCAATAGCTATGGCGTATGTACACGCATCCTCCATTTCCGGTCACCGTCATATTCGTGAGTGAACCGATTCCTGGGACGTTCTCAACGGTGATACCGTAACCATTATTTGAATGCAACTCGATTTCATCAACAACAACAGAACCTGTAATAAACGACAAGATAACCCCATTGATGTCGTTGTGAAAAGCTAACACATTAGCCAACGTGACATCTCCCTTGACATCATTAACGTAGAGTCCATTGTCATTGTTGTCCATTGTTGATACCTCTGATACGAATAGATTACCTCGCAACGAATAGATTCTAATGCCATGATCATTGTTACTAAGAGCTGACACATTAGTCAACGTGACATCTCCACCGACTCCATTAATGTGGAATCCGTCGTCGTTGTTGTTCAATGTTGATACATCTGATACGAGGATATCATCTCTCGTTGAAGAAATTGCGATTCCATGATACATGTTATCACTGAACAGTGCCTTTTGAAGTGTAATCAGCCCTTCTCCATTTGATATCTGCAGACCATTGTAGGTATTATGTACGAATGACGATCCTTGTATCGTTTTATTTCCTGCAGTATTGTCCACGAGCGTTCCCCACTTGCAAGACCCGAGGGTCGAACTTTCAATATGGACATTTGCCCTGGGGATGTCGATATGTATGCCCTTGTCGAATTCGATCACGGACAGTTCTTGGAAGAGAAGCATTTTGGGAGCCACGCTTGGAATACTGTGGACTAGAAATAAATAATGAGAATTAGGGACAGCTTTTCCATACTTGTGAACAAACATTTTAGAATTTTTGCATTAAGGACATGGTACTTGATGATACAGAATAAAAAGGAGTGTGCACATTTCATTGATGCTACAACACCCGTAGAAGAAAACACTAGAATTGGTTAAAGGGTTTCAAAATGCTGCAATGATTGAAAATGCTACAAGGTGAAAACTGCCAACTGGCTTAGTGAGTATTGTTCTTACCAGTATCAGTATCAGGAACTGCATGCACTTCAGCGAGAAAGAATGAACGACAACCTTGTCCAGCTTTGATGTGTAGTGTCAGCATCGACCCTGATGATGTGAACGCCCGTGACCTATAGCTAGCTCCTGAGGGGTTATCATTATAACAGTCCACTGTCCCTAACACACGAGAGTCGTTCAGGGTGTTTGAATCGTATACCGTGAGGCTGTTGTAAGGTGGTATGTAGTCAAACCAGCTCTTTGTCACAATTAACTGTACTCGATACCCATGCGGAGCCTGGATGTTTTTCAAGCAGTTCGATTTAACTCCCCATAATATACCATTTACAAGCCACTGCCTTGGCCCTGGTCGTAGTTTGATGGTCGGTGGGCATCCATACATGGACTGAAGCGGAACTAATCTGACGCTAGCGGTCGCCTGCTCCTCAAGATTAGACCAAGGCAAAGAATGTAATCTCAGAGTCTTTATTCCGATTCCAGCACCAATTTTGCTTCCAGTGTTGTTAAGATCAGCACTACGTATGGTCACCGACTGCTGAGGCTCTAGAACCGAAATACCTGCTTCTGTGGCACCATTCTCCATCGTGATATTCTGAATGATTACTTCACCCTCCGGGTAATATAACTCTATTCCCGACTTGCTATGGACAGAGTTCGTCATTTGGATCTCGCTGAACAGAATCGTGGACGGATAGTTTTGCAGCGATAACGCAGAAGCTTTCCCGTGATGAAGCTGCCCCACATATTGAAGGTTGACGTTACTGATGTTGACAGGTTCACTTGAGTAGCTGCGAATTCCTCCCCAACCTGGGGTAGGCTCACAAGTCAGCGTTGTACAGTAGGAGCAACTAGATGTGTGGTAGAAACTACACTCTTCTAAGCTCTCTTCATAGCCTTCACATCTAATGGAAACTTTCGGTCCTTCACAGTGCCAGCTTCCTCTAGTCTTTGATTGACCAAGTCCTAGCTGTCTGCAGGCGATGTCCATAAACTCCTGTTCCCATTGACTGCAAACGCCCCTCCACTGGCCTTGGTGGTACACCTCAAGTCGCCCGTTGGACTCGGAGCTTCCTTCTTGTAGGCGCGGTGCGTCGGTTCTATTCAGACGACTCCGAGCTGTAAAGGTGAAGTTTGTTGGGCTGTCGGGTGTCCCGGATATTTCCAAATGACCGAGGTTCAGTATGCCTACCCGTGCGTAAATCTGTATGTCGACGCCAGGATCAATGATAAGAGAGGCATTTGGGAGGATTGTTAGGTCTTTTGTTATGGTGTACGGGCTGTTGGTTGTGGTGAGATGTAACGAGTCAAATAGACGACCACCCAACTGTGTTCCACTCATGTCAGGCCGGTATTCGCTATTTACAGGGTGTCCGGACGTTGAGTTTAGGTACGGTACAAAGACAACAGCTGCACCGTTATTCCAGTCGTCGTAATCAAAGATTCTGTTTGCTATGGCGGATGCGTCTGTTGTTCCCCACCAGTTCAGTGTTGCCTGTAGGGTTGTTTCACCTAAACCTGTGTCCTGACCATTGCTACAGATCTCAAGCCGACATGATTCACTTTGAAATGAGTTCCTTGTCACATTCACTGCACCAGAAGTTGAACCAGAGAATTCAAGTGTGCAGAACTCACTAAGTGGTTCAGAGACATATGCATGAGAGGGAGGGTTGTAGTCGTTGTTGTCAAAAATGTTATCAAATATTTCTACCGGCGGTGGGGTGAGGGAGATACTAGTGGTGTTATGCAGTCCTACGCGTTTGCATGTGTTTCTGATGAATCTATTTCCAGCGAAGCGAACTTTCTTCTCAAACCCATGGACGTGAATAACTGGCTTGCTTCCACACTTGTTTGAGTCAAACAAGCTGTTCTCAACCGTAAGCTCTGCGTAATTACCAGTGACTTCGAGAGTGGTCTTCGTGTTGTTTTGGTAAACGCTATCTTTGACCAGTATCCGGGGGTAGTGTCTCTCATCAGAACCATTGACGGTAACTTTAACCGAACCGTTACCGTTGTTCATGAACTCTGAACCTGAAATACCCACTTGATCTACAACAAGTGGCTCTCGGATCTGGTCATGGTAGCTAAGTTCGAGATCAAGTCCCCTACCACCATTACCTTCTACCACACCGTCCTTTATCATTGTAATGCTTGATTCTGAGGAGTCGACGCTTTTGTAACGGATGTGAACACCGTTAATTCCATTGTGATCAAAATGACAGCCGTGACTCTCAAGGTTGGTGAATCTGTCAGACAAGACACTGAGTCCGAAGTGAGAATTGTCGTTGAAGATTGAGTTATTCACAATGGATCGCATAGGGGCACCTGACAGCATCAGACCTGCACCACTGTTTTGGATGAATGTGCTTGTGTCGATAGAAATGATTGCGGTATTGTGTGGATCCTTTACGTGCATTCCTGCAGGAAAATTTCTTGCAAAAGTTGTAGAGGAAACCGTGATGTTTTGCGAAGGGTTACTAACCAAAAGCCCTACTCCTCTGTTATCAGAGATATCGCAGTTAGACATTTGAAGTGGAGTAGATGGATTATTGACGTGGATGGCAGCACGTCCGCTATACTTCACATGGACGTTGTCTAGTTCGGGAGAAACTGACTTGACAAAGACGGCGGCATTGGTGTTTGGAGAACCTCCATGAAGAATGTCGACATTTTGTATTATCGAGTACATGGACGGATCCGTTGTGATTATATCCAACCCCTTCCAGTGGACACCTCCCCCGATCTTGAGACCATCGCACACTACACCCAGGTCATTTCGGTAGCGTCCAGTTGCTGGTTAAAAGATAGATACATGGACTCTGTAACTTTCACAATTCACTCAAACTTAGATAAAACCAACAGGAAACGCTAAAGCATAAACTTCATCAGATAAAATGATGAAAGTAATAGGAAATTTAAGTTGAAAAAATCTCTTTAACCGATTTTCTTTAAATTTACCCGATTTAAACCGGAATCTACAAATTTCTGTTGCGAGATGATTGTCTTTATGATCTCTGTTTTTGTCTGCCAACGTCTACCTTGGAAATTCTCGAAGGAATAAAGATTAAAAGGCAAATAACAAATGCACAATTTTGTCTCCTCGGACTTCCGTTGCAAATTTAAATGGTAACAGCATTTAAAATAACGCCATAGATCGAAGTCATATATATTGCATATGATATATGTATAAGCTACTAGTAGGAATCGGGCGTCCCAAGGTGATCACGTTGCTATGGTGTAATCTTCGTTGCTACGCATAAAGCTAGAGCCTGCGTGGCATGTTTCAGGTGTAGACACCGGCCGGTGTCATAAAGCCGAGCGTGCGCCGGCCGGAGCTGAGGCGGCTTTTATGTAAAATTTTAAAGTGTAATCCTGACGGGTCCCTAGCGGGATTCAACACGGGAACCTGTCCCAACTGTTCACATTAATTAAGGTAATTAAATAAACTGCTCTCCAACTAAAAATCGAAATTATCTCACCAGAAATCTTCGAATGAATCACTTAGTCGTCATTAGCTTTATGACCTAAGTGCTAGCTGTAGACACGTGACTTTTAACCACGCGTGACGTCAGCACTGAGTCAAAGTTTGTCGAAGTCCGTACCACCCCCCGTCCCGGTCGAGTGAAGGTTGGTGTGCCCTGATGTAGATGGCTTCTTTCACCCCTTTCGCAAAGTAATCCTGTCCTGTGTCCAAAATGTTAACTCCTTTCAGTGAGACAGTGTGGCCCGGTGACTCTATATTCATATGTTGTGAAACCTCAGAAGATTCAAAGCTGGGCTGCCTATGTTCCAAAAACCTGGTTTTTAAGAAGCACTCAGTTTCACCTATGACTATGTAAAAATCATGACAGGGTCATATGTTAGTGAAACCCTCTCACATAATGTAATATATGACCCCACACCTTTCTTTACTCGTTGTTTTGTCTTTGGGGGCAACTAAAATGTGGCGTAATGTGCGGGTGGGCTTGAAACAAATGCTGTGTTTGGCAGCCATATAAATCTATATGTTCTACTATTTGAGTCGATGTTTACAAAGACCCGGTATGTAAGTGTATATGCTTGTAAATATTGTATGAGACTCAGCTAGCGACATCACTTATAATCTTTGGCGAGCCATGGCGAGCCATGACGAGCCCGCCAGCCGAAGGGTCCGTCGCTAAAGATCCTTCGCTAAATACCCGGCGAGCAAAGAAAAAAAAACGAAGGTGAGTGTTTTTCTTATATTTTGCGTTGATTTGGTGGTGGGCCGAGTTGACCAGGGCGATGGGCCGAGTTGACCAGGCAGATGGTCCGAGTTGACCAGGGCGGTGGGCCGAGTTGACCAGGGCGGTGGGCCGAGTTGACCAAATTTGCGATGGGCCGAGTTGGTAATGGTCCGAGTCGTCCTGATTCCGGTCCCATTGACGTATGGGGCAAAGGCCACCAAATGGCGCATGCCCAGAGGGCCCAGTCTGAGACCCCTTTGAGTGAGTGCAGCCAAACCAACTGAAAACAGCCTTTTTACCACCATGAAAAATGGAGGTATTGTTTTTGGCGTGTCTGTCTGTATGTATGTATGTATGTATGTATGTCTGTCTGTGTGTCTGTCTAGTCTGTGTTTCCGCAACTTTGTGGTCAGCATAACTTCAGAACGCCTTTATGGATTATGATGATATTTGGTATGTTGGTAAGTCTTAGGACGACAAACGTCAAGGTCAAATATGGGCCTCCTGGTGGATGACCTTGGTACTGCAGCAGTAACTCCGGTTTTTGTATCTTTTGTCCTGAACATGCTATGGTCTTGATGTTTTGGTGACAGATTGATTTTCCTGTCAGGAATAAGTGGTGTGAGTTTGGTCCCCCTAGCAGCTTGTTCTGGAACTGCAGGGCACTTTCTGGCGAAATGTTTAAAAGCCAATAAGTCAAGATAGGAACAACATATTTTCATAATTTTTGGTGTGTAGGTAGCTGAGAGAGAGATGTACATGATTAAATGCAAATTATGCAAATGAGGACTTTATTTGCATAATTATTGAGGAAATTCTATAATTACAGTGTTTTACATTATGGTTCCGGGTCGGAGTTTATTTCTGACCAGGGTTCAAAAGAGTGCGCAGTAAACTGCCGGAAACACGACTTTGATAGGTATCTTTTGGTTGTAATTTCGCTGATATTGTTATAGCAGTGTACATATCTTTATATTTTCTGAAAAGCCTGATAGTTGTAGTATATATAGGCTGCATAATGTTGGTGGTTCAGCGAACACTTCCCGATGTTAGTCCGCGCGGATGATAACGTAGCCTTTTCGCCTGATCAGCGGGACGGTGCGTTCGATGTGCCCTGGGGGTGTGTGTGGGGCATCGAAAATTGAGAAAAAGTTATCACGACAAGTTATAATTTTTTTTCGTTTTTGAGAAACGTGAGGTACTAAGCTACCCAGCGGTGTAAGCCGTTACCCTGGGAAAATTCGTTTTTTCCATGCAGCCATGTTTGAAAAATGACGAAAAAAGTACCTCTTTCCTCTAAAATTTATTATTATAGACCTTGGTAATCCCCAGATAGTTTGGCAGCAGGATATATCAATCAAGTCCATTACGTAGCAGCATGACACCCCTTTCAACTAGTACAATGAAAAATCCCGACCCACGTTCTTGACGGAAGCGCCAGCCCGCTTGGCCGAGAGTGTCAAATTTGCTACGAATACGAAAAAAAACTCCGGTCCGAGACCTTAAAAAGACGGCATTACGTCAAAATACCGTGCAGTGAAGGCGTTTTTTTCGCATCATCTTGAACATCGCGCCACGCCCAGACAGAAAACTGCCGAAAACGCCTTGTTTGTCGCTTGTTTATTTCCTACGGACGACTTTTATGTTTCGCCCCCCTCCCCCCTGGTCCGGCCTATGACGTAGGATTGTATAGAACGGGGTCAATGACCTTACACTCTTCATACGCGCGCGTCTATAATTCATCCTTGTTTTGAAAAATAAAACTAAAAAGAGGCTAGAATAGGTCACTATCAATGTGCTAGCCCTACAATTTGCGTTGCTTCCCTTATTTCTATTGATGAAAGGGTTTCCACACATTTATTCAGTTCATGACTTCCTAGTTTTGCCATGTCATCTCTCTGTAACCCTAAACCTAACGCTGATGGATGGATTGATGGATGGATGGATGGATGGATGGATGGATGGATGGATGGATGGATGGATAAATGAATCAATCAATGAATCTTATCAAAAACAGATGGAGTTTATTGAACTAAATTAGGAATATAGAAAGAATTTCGATGCTGTCTGTGAAATGGTTCACGGGTATCCGCTTGTGGCAATTTACACGTACCTCCCACACACAAGTCCGACAAAGATGGCCGAGTTTTATCTCAACCCTGTCTCGGAGTCGTATGGAGAGTATATCAAGCAGAAACTCCTGAAAAAGTCCGCTGTAGCTGAAAGCGGCTGTGTGTTGTGGACGGGGTATGTCGAGCGAGACGGCTACGGGACCACCAAGGTGAAATCTCACTTTGACGGCAGGAGATTCACGCTGACCGTCCATCGTCTGATGTATTTTCTACACTCAAAACACGCGATGGCTTCAGGGATGCACGTGAGCCACATCTGCCACCAGAAGCTGTGCCTCAACGTGTCCCACCTCAGCTATGAGCCGCCAGCAGTCAACCTCCAGCGAACATCATGTGTTAGAGAAGGCCGCTGCACTGGACACGGGACATACAAGGAGTGTATCCTTAGACAGTAGGTACACTTTGTTACTTGCCCGCCACCCCCACCCCCCCACACACACACACACTGACACACTAACTTTCCTTCATTTCTACCCCCCCCCACCACACACACACAAAATCAACGTTCTTTCTTTCTTTCTTTCTGACAACAGGAATCATGACAGAGCCAGTGATATGGGCCGAATGTATAAGAGAATTTATTGAATTTTCTTAATCAGACATACTTTCCGAAAGTGACACGTCTTCTGATCTTATGTACGGGTGTTCATGTGGAAGATGAACCGAGGGCGATGTGTCGGCCATCATTTTTTCTACTCGTTTGGACACAGTCTTTGTCGAGGCCCTGTTCCGACTGTTGCGGTAGGCATCTGACTGTTGCCGACGTTTGTCGGCGTCAGCCTGTCGGTCTATCTGCATCAACCTGTGGGCCGCTTCGCCACCTGATCGCGGTGCGACACCAAAGTGCTGTCCGAGTCGAGCTAGGGACTCCCCCAGCCCGCCCACAGCCGAAGTGTGCACAGCACTGTATGCACGCATCTCTGCCAGCGTTTTGAAAGTCAAAGACTTTGGCAGAGACTTGTGCATACATCTGTGAAATGCCTCCACAGAGTTGGTGGACCGCAGGTAGCGCTGTTTCATAGCTTTGTCTTCCGACAACTTTGAATCGAGCACTTCGCCAAGCTCAACTCTGTCCTCCAGGGTTAACAAAAGATATGTTTTCCTGGGGAGGTAGGAGGGCGTGTGATCGGAGCCCGCAGGTGAACAGGGACACACAAAAGACACACCGAAGCACTTTGTGTGATTTCCGGAGAAGCAGTCCAAGATGTTATCTTTTGCGTCCAAAACTGCCTCGAGGAATTTGGAGTCGTCGGTGGGGTGGAGTCCCCGTGCTCCGCTAAGTTCACCTGCACAGCGCGAGGCGATGGCTTTCGACAAGACAGTACAGAAAGCCTTTTGTGCTTCCTGTGACACCTTGCCGGTAAACCCCACCTGCCCTGTTACAAGCTGGGAACTTAACTTTGCACGGAAAACGCTAGCCCGCTGGCGACGCGAAGCATGAACCATGCAATCCTGGTGCTCTACGTTAAAGTCGGGCTGGAGGGTTTGGGTGGCAGATTTTGCGCCTCTGTAAATCTGACCAGACCCGTCTGTAACGAGAGCTTTGAGCAGAAGAGGTGATTCGTTACATTGATACATTTCTAGGGTAACTCTCCCAGCTAACCATTCTTCTGCATTGCCAATGGGTTGAGATTTAGGATAGGCGGACGCTTCTCCGTCTTTACCAAACTTGTTGGCAAAGCCGAAACCAATCAGCATTTTGGCTTCTGTTTCCTGTTCCCTGACGTTAAGCGCTGCCTGCGTTGATTTCTGGTGGAAGCCCTTGTAACAGGGATTGTTGAAGCAACCATCGGCTGCTGCGGCTATAGCCACTGGCTCGCCATCCTCCACCTGACATCCCCGCATCTCCATAACCGCCCGCAGTCGCCTCCTGTTGTCGGCCAGGGCCTGTTGTGCCAATGACACGAGCGGACCCGCCATCCCTGTAGCCAGGTTGTGTATGCTACTCCTGGTCGGTAATGACAGCTCCACGCTGGTAAACAGCTGGTGGATCGCCGTCGACCCGACAGGGATCTTTGTCAGGCCCAGTACGAGCTGCAGGTTCTTCTTTGGGGGTCTAGGTCCTCTGGTGTGCCCAGGAACACGCTCTCCTTCCTCATAGAGCTTGCGTTGTGGAGTGGTGAAGCCACATCTCTGGCACCGCAAGGCTTCCCAGTATCCTAACCCGTACTTTCTCTCCATATCCGCAGGCATGGTGACCACGGGAGTACAGCCAGGGCTGTCGACACTGTGTGAGGAATAAAACTCATTTATGAGCTCCATGAGAAACGGCACATGAAATATGCGGTCCTCAGCTACACCTGCAGTGCTAGACTGATCAGGCGACGCACCTGCCAGGCTCTCTAGCTGTGTAAGCGGCCGCTTTCTCGGCCTGAGCCAGCCAAATGTGTCGTCTTCGTCCAGAGATGGACGTCCGGCCAGACTACAGATGTCACTGTCGACACGCTTATATTTTTTGAAGCTACACGTGTCTACTTCCCCATCATTACTCCCGTCTTCTGTGTGCCCAGTACTAGAGCGCCTAATACTATTTCCCGGTTCAAAATATTTTAATGGTTTGCGCTTCTTGGGTCTTCCTTTCGCTTTCTTTGATGTTATGCTATTTGTTTCCAACACAGGCTCGGCTAACAACACAGCATCCTCTGCCATATCGTCGTCGACGGCGTCGGGCGGTGGCTGTTCTCCATCTTCGCTAAAGTCTACTCCTGTGGAACAGACTTCTACTTCGGCGAGCTGCAACGGGATATACGTGTGTTGCCAAGCCATACTTACCTCATTTGAATACTCATTTGAAAAAAAGAGCCGTTAACGGATAGTTCGATTCAGACATTTGTTTATCTCCAAGGAGATCTTAGCAACGCGAAAGTTTTAGAACGCATGATAGTAACCGTGATGTGAGACGCGGTCTTGTGGCGCACTATGCTACTTTTCAGATGTTTTAAAGGATGGACATGCCGCTTGAGGCAGTAATATTAATAGGAATTACAGGAGGAACATTTATGTGCACACATGTGTCAGTTTTTGTCAGTGACGCTGTATAAAAATGAGAATAAATATGTCCCGTTATTACAATGGAACGTAATGTAATACTCAGCTCCGCCGCGTGGTGGCGCCACGATATACGCGCTTTCTAGTGTTATCTTCAGACACCTGTTAAAGCGCGCTATATGGGCGCCTTGGGCGGAAACTTCGTGTGACCCTTCAATAAAGCCTCCTCTTGTTTTTTTAATGATTTTGATAAAAATAGTGGCAATTAAGGTTCCGGGTCGGAGTTTATTTCTGACCAGGGTTCAAAAGAGTGCGCAGTAAACTGCCGGAAACACGACTTTGATAGGTATCTTTTGGTTGTAATTTCGCTGATATTGTTATAGCAGTGTACATATCTTTATATTTTCTGAAAAGCCTGATAGTTGTAGTATATATAGGCTGCATAATGTTGGTGGTTCAGCGAACACTTCCCGATGTTAGTCCGCGCGGATGATAACGTAGCCTTTTCGCCTGATCAGCGGGACGGTGCGTTCGATGTGCCCTGGGGGTGTGTGTGGGGCATCGAAAATTGAGAAAAAGTTATCACGACAAGTTATAATTTTTTTTCGTTTTTGAGAAACGTGAGGTACTAAGCTACCCAGCGGTGTAAGCCGTTACCCTGGGAAAATTCGTTTTTTCCATGCAGCCATGTTTGAAAAATGACGAAAAAAGTACCTCTTTCCTCTAAAATTTATTATTATAGACCTTGGTAATCCCCAGATAGTTTGGCAGCAGGATATATCAATCAAGTCCATTACGTAGCAGCATGACACCCCTTTCAACTAGTACAATGAAAAATCCCGACCCACGTTCTTGACGGAAGCGCCAGCCCGCTTGGCCGAGAGTGTCAAATTTGCTACGAATACGAAAAAAAACTCCGGTCCGAGACCTTATACTACTTTCATACATGTAATGTATGTAACCTATGGCAGGCAGAACATCAACAGATACTAATTATGCAAATGGTGACCTTATTTGCATAATTTATGCAAAAATTCTATGATTTCTTAATGGTGAATGATGGGAATGTCATACTTGGGACATCTGTAAGTTAATCAAAAAGTTCACATACATCACGATGCATATATCATGTTAATGCAGAGGTAATTTGCATAATTAAAGAGGAAATTTACATTTACATATCAAGCCCATATTTCATGGAGGTATAAAATCTCGGAATTCTTGTTCTTTGTATGTGGGGATAAATGCTGGCATTTTCCAGCTGGAGAGTTCTTTCTATTTCTATTAACTTGAAAAAACTGGTTGTTACCTCCATGAAAAATGGAGGTATTGTTTTTGGCGTGTCTGTCTGTATGTATGTATGTATGTATGTATGTATGTCTGTCTGTGTGTCTGTCTGTCTGTGTTTCCGCAACTTTGTGGTCAGCATAACTTCAGAACGCCTTTATGGATTATGATGATATTTGGTATGTTGGTAAGTCTTAGGAAGACAAACGTCAAGGTCAAAAATGGGCCTCCTGGTGGATGACCTTGGTACTGCAGCAGAACTTCCGGTTTTTGTATCTTTTGTCCTGAACATGCTATGGTCTTGATGTTTTGGTGACAGATTGATTTTCCTGTCAGGAATAAGTGGTGTGAGTTTGGTCCCCCTAGCAGCTTGTTCTGGAACTGCAGGGCACTTTCTGGCGAAATGTTTAAAAGCCAATAAGTCAAGATGGGAACAACATATTTTCATAATTTTTGGTGTGTAGGTAGCTGAGAGAGAGATGTACATGATTAAATGCAAATTATGCAAATGAGGACTTTATTTGCATAATTAATGAGGGAATTCTATAATTACAGTGTTTTACATTATACTACTTTCATACATGTAATGTATGTAACCTATGGCAGACAGAACATCAACAGATACTAATTATGCAAATGATGACCTAATTTGCATAATTTATGCAAAAATTCTATGATTTCTTAATGGTGAATGATGGGAATGTCATACTTGGGACATCTGTAAGTTAATCAAAAGTTCACATACATCACGATGCATATATCATGTTAATGCGGAGGTAATTTGCATAATTAAAGAGGAAATTTACATTTACATATCAAGCCCATATTTCATGGAGGTATGAAGTCTCGGAATTCTTGTTAGTGTTGTTTTGGCTGCTTGGTAGGTTCTAAAACTAATTCCATCTTCTGTCTTTTGGTGGTCTTCAAGGGGGTCAGAGGTCATGCTGCCAGTGTTTGCATTTGCCGTGCCATGTATCGCTGGTCAAAAAGTGAAATTTTTGGACTAAATGGACAATTTGGGAGTTGGACTACCCTGTCAATATGTGTTTGCAATAGTTGAACACTCAAGTAGGTGATTGTTGACAGCTCAGTTCTTAGATGTTTTCCATATATGTTTTCCAATAGGGGCTGGAATCAGTGGGCTGTCCCCTGACATGGAAGGACTAACAACGGTTCCCGACTGCTATTAACTGTCGAGTCCTGTCTCACGCGAGAATGTGAACGGGTACGGGCTGGTCTGGGGTTGACAGCCTTGTTGATAGCCCACTGGGGGTTCCTGCACTTCTTATGGGCTTCTGTGACGTGGTTAATTTATGATGTTCTGTCAGTGGGGTCACTAATGATGGTGTTAGCCCAGTGCGAAAGTGTTTTCATTACGCACAGTTTACGATCTATATGTTCTACTAACACACTAAATGCGCTGTCTTGTTTTTTACACCCACAGATTCAGTTATTTACGTTCCTTAGTGTCCCCTCCTTCAGTTTCCCTTGTTTTTATTTGTACCTGTCACCTGTTTTGTAACTAACACATGCGCAGCTGCTAGTAATCCGATAAAAAATGGACAAAGCGCAGTGCATAAGATGATGAGATGAGGAGAATGAGAGGGTGGTTAGAGTAAAAATTCAAATATTGATCTGTGGGGGTTGATATTCTTTTTAATATTCACACGTAGGGACCAATCTTCATAAATAATTACTGTCGATGTATCTAAAAAGTTAAAGAACAGTTATACCACAGTTTGCGGGGTCGTGTGGCGTAGCGGCAGAGTGCGCGACTCGAAACCTAGAGGCCACCGATCTTGTGCCTTTTTTTGCCTTTTGGAAAGGCACTTTACACGACTTTCCTCACTTCGCTCAAATGAAAATGAGTATTGTCCTGTCATGTATTTGTCCCCTGTGTAGGTGGCGGCATTAATATAAGTTGAAAAAACTTGAGTGTGTCGTCACCACGTCTTGTGGTTACATGTTGGAATAAAAAAAGTTATACCCCTGCTCAAACGTGGATTTTATATCCGGATTGAGGCTTTTTAAAGGGTTGGTAAATTCTTGACATCACTATCCTCCCAACGGACAAAAGTCACCTTACTGTCGTTCTCGTTTAAGAGGATTCCATGTACAAGTGTCAGGACCTACTTACCGACAAAAACACCTACTGGAGGCTGGGCAAAAGAAACCGACGTCCAAATACAAGAAAGAGTTAATCGCAACACTCCAGAATATTGAACGCGAGGTGAAACCACTCTTGCACTGTGCTAACACTATCATTAGTGACCCCACTGATAGATATCTAGAGCATCAGAAATGTATCACGTCACTGAAGCCCATAAGAAGTGCAGGAACCCCCAGTGGGCTATCAACAAGGCTGCCAACCCCAGACCAGCCCGTACCCGTTCACATTCTCACGTGAGACAGGACTCGGCAGTTAACAGCAGCCGGGAACCGTTTTTAGTCCTTCCATACGTCAAGGGGACCTCGGGTCATCTTCGTAGGATTTTCAACTCAAATGGAGTATTTGTTTCAAGCCCACCCGCACGTTACGCCACCTTTTAGTTGCCCCTAAAGACATGTACAAACCATCGAGGGAAGAAAGGTGTGTGTTTATCTATCACATCAAGTACCTGGTTGATGGTTCCACTAACATAGGACCCTGTCATGATTTTTTGATACTAGGTAAAACATAACGCTCCTTAAAAACCAGGTATCTGGAACATAGGCGGCCCAGCTCTGGATCTTCTGAGGTTTCACAACATATCTATATAGAGTCTCCGGGCCATAGTGTCTCACTGGAAGGAGTTAATTAATAATATATTGCCTTTTCTTGGACACAGGACAGGATTACTTTACAAGAGGGGTGAAAGAAGTCATCTACATCAGGGCATACCAACTTTCACTCAACCGGGACGAGGGGCGATACCGACTTCCGACGAAATTTGACCCAGTGCTGACGCCACACGTGGTTAAAAACCACGTGTCCAAAGCACTTAGGTCATAAGACTGATGAAGACTGAGCAATTCATTCGAAAATTTCTGGTCAGTTATTTTTTAAATTTAAGTAGGAGAACAGTTTAATTTCCCTTGTGTATTTTACCAACTTAGATGAACTTTTAAGCTTATTCACATTAATGTTATTTTCAAAATGAATATCCGAACAAAATAAGAGACAACATTTCACATGGGTTAAGGTAGCATAACATCCGCGACCCCCGGAGACGATGACGTAGGGATAAGAAATGAGTGCGACAAACAGCTTGCACCGCTTGTACACAGCCTAACGTGGATGACACCGGGACATACAAGTTACCGTATGGTACCATAATATGTCGGCTTTGATATCGCATGATTGAGATTTTTTTTTTTTTTAATTTCATAAGTAAGACAAAGTACAGGACAAAGTGATAGCGCACTCAAGTTACAATACTTATTTTGACGCTACCACTTAATAAATGAAATACAAGGAAATAAGGGATAACAAAATGTGAAATGGTATAAAAAAGTACAAAGATGTTGAAATGTTTATGAGCGCAGTCCGATTCCCCACCCAATGATGAAGCAGATACAACTGTAGGACACAGAAAAATATGACAGAGAATGATTATTGGAAGCGTTTTGTTGTGGTGATGAATTGTTGGGTTAACATCAAAATGTTGGAATTTGCTATGAGTGAACATGTGGGACTACCACGGAGAAGGAGGAACATTTTGGCGTTGTCAGACAAAACTGTAAAGTTGAGGGAGTGTCCTAAGAGCTTCCAGGCTCTTAGGACACTCCCTCAACTTTACAGTTTGCCAAGGAGAATTATGCGTTGGGCGTTGTACATAGGGCAGTGGAGTAAGTAGTGTGACACTGTTTCGCGTTGGCACCCGCAGCTACAAGCTGGACTGTCGAGTAATCCTCGTGTGAAGAGACTGTGGTTTAGGCTACGGGTGCCAATGCGAAGGCGTGTGAGGTGTACACAGGCAAGACGAGGACCATGGCTAAAGTATTTGAACTTAACAGGCCGAATGGTTTTGAGGAGAGCGGTTCGAAAATGACAGTAGTTTAAAGAACGAGTTGACAAATCAAGATTATTCCAATGGTGTGTCGAGTACGGAACAAAAGACTTAGCAAAACGATTGGTTGAGTAACTAGGAGATCTTAAGTTCATCTTGTTGCGTAGGTCATATGTACATGATGAAAAAATGGCCGCGGGTAATATTTCAGACAAGTAGTTGCGAGTTAAACCATGAACGATTCTGTGAAACAAACAAAGTCGATGAACATGTCGTCTATCTGATAATGATTCCCACCCGAGTTCGTGCCTAGTTGACAGGTAAGACGAACCCTTAGTGGCACCTCTGGAAATCACTCTTCGTAACTGTTTGCAACAAACACGCACCTCTCAAAAAGTTCAGGGTGAGGGGAGAGGACTGTCCGCCGTGGCTCACACAAGACATACGTGAGCTAATGTCACTTCGTGACGAAGCAAGACACACAGCTGAGTCGACCCAGAGGCCAACTGACTGGGAAACATACAGAAGGTTGCGTAATCACACTAAGCGCCTAATCATCTCGAGTAAGCGAACTTACCTGACTGATGAAATCAACAACGGCAATGTTAATAGCATGTGGAAATCAC